CACAAACAAACAAGTTAAATTTTTGATTTCAAAGAGGTAACCGTTATAAAATTATTAGGCATGGGCGTTCGATTTTTCATTATTTGAAGAAGATGCAAGAGTATGAATGGTTGATACTTTATAGTAACAGTGGAGATGTCTACAAGAAACTTTCTGGGAAATTGGATAATCATTGGTTGCCTTTTATTAACATCATCTCGTGTAGCCGTTGAGCGGGCAAATTCATTGATTTGGGACAAGTCATGACATATAAAAACATATCATTGATTTGAAAGCTAATAATATCTGGTTTCAGCTATTATATTTGGTAATATTACCGAGGGTGTTGAACCCCATCATATAACACGATGGACGATGGTCAGAAGTATTTAACTTTGACAACATATTTTTGTTTTATTTTTTGCGAATATTATTATTTCATAACTTTTAACGTTTTGTTCTTCCGAGTACAATCGGAGGTGGAACTGGGGCAAAAAAAAAAACGAAATATTTGATTTTGAGATCTGAGTGTTTGACCGATAAGAAACAACTCAATCATCCAACAACGGCCGGCTGGTTCGGTATATGGCTAACTCCGATTTACTGACAATCAAATTGATTCGTGACTTAGCACTACTTTCGCTTAAGATTTCTAGAAAGTAGAATCTAATTTTGTCAAGCGTTGAATAATAAGTGTGTTTGTTTTTTCCAAATGGGAGTTCTTAATAAGTTTGCTTATTAAAGTTACAATCAATATTGCCAAGTGGGAGTATTAACAGCAATTTATTTCTTCTTTTTTTTGACAATATTATAAGTGCATCATCTTATATATAAAACGTGATCAACTCTCTCCAGCTGATCGTCATGTCAACACGGGAGAGAGTGACACGTATCCCCCACAAATCTTAATTAAAAAAAAAATTTCTCTCGAAAAAACATCAGATAAAAACGTTTTCTCTTCCCCATTCGTTACGAGTCTCTCCGAGAAGGTCTTTAGAGGTTCCGATCACGCCAGACTTTGTTCTGACGGAGCTTAACTGTTGCCGTTGTAAGATTATATGTTCATTATCAGTTCGAGAAAAAACCATGTAAAATTCAATCTCCAGATTCCTCTGTTCTTCAAATATTGGGTTCGATTCGGGAACCTTATATCAAGTTTTTATAAATTTTTGCTTAATTAGGGTTTCACAATAATTGTGAGCAATTTGATTCTATTGGTTAATATTCTGGGCTAAAGATATGTCTTCGTCCTGTCCTGAGCCGAAAATCTAATAAGCAAAAGTTTGGCACCGCGGAAACAGTTTCAATTACCGATTTCAGGGTCAAACCAACAGACCAAGGTGATTTTTCTCTCTCTTTTTTTGTATCTCGATTGGTATCTTCGTAAGGATTTTGAGAATTGGAAAGACTTGAAGAATCCATTGCTTGCTCAGTTCCGTAGAGAGAAATTGAGAGCAGCTAAGGTTTGTAAAGGTTTGTCAAAGAACGGGAAGGCTCAAAACCTTGCTTAACAACACTGGCTTGAAGCGGTGTGTTTGTGACTAATCTCAGTTTCGTTTATGAACTTTCTGCCAACAGATTGACCCAAGACATCGGTATGGACAGAACATGCACTTTTACTACAACAAATGGCTCCACTGTCAGAGTAGAGAACCTTTCTTCTACTGGTAATTTCTTCCCACCTACTCATTATCTTTTCTTTTCTTTTTTTGTCCTAAATCAAGTAACTAAACTTAGAAATGGGTTTGATTCAAATGTTGCAGGCTTCATATTGGCGAGGGGAAAGAAGTAAATCTTGTGGAGAAATGTCTTCCATTGAAACTACAACAACATTGCATTAAGTATCTTGGTCCGGTTAGTATCCATTCTTTTTATCTCTGCTCAATAAGTAACTTTGCCCAGGAATTAGAACTTGTTTCTTATTGTTGTCATCTTTATGTTTTGTGTAGATGGAAAGGAAAGCTTATGAGGTGGTTGTGGAAGACGGCAAGTTCTAAGAATTTCTCGATACATTCTTTGTCATTTGACAATTTGATGGCTATGTTCTGAGAATTTTTGGTAGGGAATGGAGAATGTTAAAGCTTTCACGACTTAGTTCTGAGATCCGTGCTTTAAAATCTTTTCCTATTGTATGTTCGCCAAATTCAGGCACAGTGACTATATATATATATATTGAGCAATTGAGTTGGAAGATTTGTTGGGATTTGCCTTAATGTACTCACAATTCTTTGATCACAGGGCAATGTATTGGAATCGACGACCAAAAGTATCAAAAACTAAAAATAAAATCCAAAGAAAGAGCTCAATATAAGAAGGGTGCTATTGTGGAAGTCAGAAGTGAAGAAGCTTACACGGGTTCTTGGTATTGTGCACGTATACTTAATTTATTAGCTGATGATAAGTACATTGTTGAACACTTGAGATTTTCAAGAGATGGCGACGAGTCTATCCCTCTGAGAGATTTGGTAGAAGCCCAGAACATAAGACGAGTTCCTCCTTCGCAACTCTCGCCTGTTGCACGCTGTGAACCAGGGGATGAAGTTGATGTTTGGTTCAACAAACGGTGGTGGATCGACAGGGTTTCCAAAGTGCTTGCATGAGGTTCAATGTACTTAGTCTATTTCATCTCCACGGGTGAAGAATTGACAGTCCTACATTTCAATTTGAGGCCCGGGAAAGAGTGGATCAATGGACGATGGATTAATTCTTACAAGTATGGCTACTACATACAATGTCTTGCTATTAACTAATCTTGTTAATTATTTGTTGAATACAGGTGTTTACACTGTTATAATTCTCACAGTTTGTGCGTTCCTTTTTGTGTACAGAGAGAATGCTTCAAACCTCCATAGAAGAAGATACACTGTTATAAGGCTCATGGTACTCTGCAAAGATTATAAGCTACTTAAGGGAAAACAGATACACAGTATCAAACACTGAGAACGGTGGGTGGAATAGAGTTGTTAAAGGAAGAAGCAAGAGGCCTAGATATAAGACCTAATCCTCCTCAACTTATTTTAAGGGCGTGTTGATATGAATTGTTAGAAGATGTGGAAGCTTGGTTTAACGATGGATGGTGGTCTGGTCGAGTCTATAAGATCAACAGCAACTACATGCGATATGGTGTCTACTTCAAAACTACTGATGAGAGATTGGAGTTTGCTTACACTGATCTAAGGCCTTGCAAAGTTTGGAGGAAAGGGAAATGGAGCCGTGCTTAAGATTGAGAAGAAGATGACTAATAGTAGGTGGTGATGAAGAAGATAATTAACGTGACTTGATTATAAATTTGTTGTTAAAAATTGGTTATATGACATTTTGATGTTGGTGATGTGGTTAATTTTCTTAATATATGTTTTCTTCTCCAATGCTTACATTCTTTCTTTTTTCTTTGTGTTTTCTGGTCATTGTTGAATATGCTTTTTTTGGGAGAAACCGTTTTATTGAATTTCTTAGATATAACTACAGTTAGAAGTCTAAAACTCCAAAAAAAGAAAAAAAAATCAGAACAGTGTTTTCAATTGACTATAAATTAATCATACTAAAATTATTGACATTATTAAAGGACAAAAACCACAAACACCAAAATAAAATAACAGCAAATATACTTCAGACATGTACACATTAAAATGCACGTTTTGGTAGTTTATTTCACTGCTTTGAATAGGAGATGAAATGAGTAATATTTTAATAGAAACACCAAAAAACTAAAATACCGGAAACATGATAGGTTATTAAAAATAAAGATTTAAACAATTAAATAAAGACAGAAAAAATTATAATACCATTGGTAAATAAATTTGCAAAAAGTATTATTTATTCAAAAAAAAATGTAAACAATTATAATTAGTTACTTCTCTTTCTAAACCACAAATTTGCATCGTAGCTTCCCTAAAGAAATGTTATTTTCAACCTAAATGAAAAAATAGTTACAGATTTAAACATTATTCAAACAAAAATAAAAGAAATTATCTGCATATAGCGCGAACTTTCACCTAGTATAAATAAAACATAAATGACTATCATGTCTAATGAAGATGTCAGAGGGACGAAAAAGAAGATGAAGAAAATGACGAAAATATTACACAACTCCAAACTATTCTCGATTTCACATGAAATAAATGACTAATGTGCTAACTGCATTATAATTAGAAAGATACAACACATGAACAACCGTTAGTAGATATACGTTAAATGGAAACGTATTATTTAGTCTAAACATTTATTTATTTATTTATCTTGAAATTTTGCAATTTTGAGATACTAATTCTTTTATTTTACTATAATTTTAGACTATATTAGATTTTTTTTTACAGATTTAAAAACATATATTTGAATACAAACGGAGTAGGTAAGATAATTTTTGGACAGATTTAGACTCCACTAATTACTCCTTAGATCCGGCTAATCCGGATCAAAATACCTTTAAATTAATTACAAGATCAAATTTTCATTTAGTTAGTTAACTCTATTGTATTATTATTTGTTTTTTATATTGCCGCCATGCGAAGGCAAAACACTTGATGATTTATATATGAAAAAATAAAATATATATTCAAAAGGTTGTACGATCTCGAAATGATTAATGAATTTTATATATAAATAAAATAAAAAAATTCAAACCAATGTACTTCTCCCGTAATCTTAAAATATAAGATACTTTAGAGAGAACACAAATTGTTTTTTTGTTAATATATGAATTAAAAATAATTAAACAATTGTAGAAAAGATTACATAATACGATCGTTCTTTCATTTTCAAATAAATTTAAAGTTATGTAAGAAAGTGAGAACTTTTCATATTTTGAAACAAATAAAAAATAATCTATTAAACAGTAGCTTAGCTGTATTTTTAATAATTAAATGATCTATTACTAAACAATAGCTTAGCTGTCTGTAATTTTATGTCCTCCTGTACGAAATGATTATTTATTGACTTTATATATAAATGGAGAGAGGAGGAGAAAGAGAAGAAGAGTATACCAGAACCACTTCCCAAAATTCGACGTCGGTGTAGCAGCCATGAGTTCCATAGGCGTCTTTAAAAAAGTGGAAATCGATGGAAACCCAACTTTCGTTTTCACACTAGATCACAGTCCAAACTCCTCCGATGAAGCAGCCATCGTTTCTGGTGGAAGCGGCGACCTCCCTCTTCAACAACCTCTTTTCTTATGCCCATGGACACGCTTTCTTTTGGAAGCCCGTAGAGAAGAAAAGAGAGGTGGAGACAGAGAACGGGAAAAGCTTTTCCCGTTCCATGATTCCCCTCACTTTCCTTCTAGTGGTCTGCAAGAGGAGTCTTTGCCTGTTGATGAAACCGGAGAGGAATTCGGATGGCTGGAGCTTGGTGCAAGTTATCTTACTAAAGGGCAAAAGATACGTTGTAAGCTTCCTGTACTCCCTCTGTATTGGTGCAACAATGAAGAACCTGATGATGATGGTGAAAATATTTGCATGTGTGAAAACAGAAATGTCGGTACAGACTATTATTTCTGCGTAGGGTGTGATGAGAGATACCACAAAGAATGTGTTGAGTCTCCACTTCAAATCAAACATCCTTTCCACCCTAGACACTCTCTCCAACTTTTCCTGACTCCTCGTGGATGCGATTATCATTGTGCCCATTGTTTAACATATCTAACTTTGAAAAGTTACCATTGTACTAGCTGCAATCTGAACTTGGACCCAATTTGTGCTATGAAGCAGCTACCCATTGTTAAAAACCACCCAAAAAGGCATGTCCATCCTCTCACCTTTTTCCCTAGACAAGATTCCTTAGCTTGCAATGTTTGTGGTGTGATTAAAAAATTCAATCCCACCTATGTCTGTGTTCCATGTGACTTCGTAGCCCATCGAAACTGTATTTATTTCCCTTTTGTCATAAAAATATCCCGTCACCGTCATCGCGTTGCTTTTACCTCTTCTCTTCCTTCTGGGGAATGGTTTTGTGGAGTCTGTCGTCGAGAGATTGACAACCATTATGGTGCGTACGCTTGCCAGAAACATTGTAATAACTATTTCGTTCATACAAGATGTGCGTTGCGGGGAGATGTGTGGGATGGAGTTGAACTCGAAGGAGTACCAGAAGAACCCGATGTAGTTGTTGAGCCGTTCGAGAGGATAGCTGAAGGAATAATACTCCATTTTACTCATGCCCATCAGATGCGACTCGAGGTCAGTTTAGTTTACGACCGCACAAAAATTTGCCAAGCATGTGTCCTTCCGATCTACGAGGGTAGTTTCTATGCATGTATGGATCAATGTGACTTTATCCTACATGATGCATGTGCAAATGCTCCCCGGAGGATACATCATCCGTTACATCCACATCCACTTACGCTAAAGGCCGTCGCTGTTACATTTGAAGATGATGGTCAGTTTCATTGTAATGCTTGTGCTCAGCGTGGTTGTGGTTTTGTTTATGAGTGTCAAGTAGAAGAAGAATGCTTCCAACTAGACGTAATGTGTGCCTCCATTTCTGAGCCGTTTCATTATCATGGTCATAAACATCCTTTGTTCCTAGCTTTAGATCCAGATGAGAAACATCAATGCCACATTTGCAAAGGAGGGTACAGTAAGCTATTAAATTGCATTGAATGTGATTTTGTGGTATGTTTCATGTGCGCTGCTTTACCATACAAAGTAAGGTATAAGCATGATAAGCATTTCCTTACATTTTGCAACTGGCAAGAGGCAAGTGACTCAGATTGGTGTGAGATATGCGAAGGCAAATTAATTGTCGGAGAAAATGATTTCAAGTTCTATGTTGTCGGATACGGCATTGAAGGAACCACAGGGTTCTATGGGTGCAATGAGTGTTGTACCACACTTCATATTCATTGCTTACTTGGGAAGCAGAGATATATGAAGCCTGGTCAAACTATCTACGTGACAATGAAGTCGAGAAGCTGTCGTATTCTTCACAACAATTCTAATTCTCGACCAATTTGCAGTGGAAGAAAATGCCAGCGCCGCTGTCTATTCAATACTGTTTTCAAAGTTGATGCTCACATCTTTTGTTGTTGGGAATGTGCCCAGCTTTTTGATGAGGATGATGAATGAGTGAGCACTCATACAAAGTTATTCTGCTTTCAGTTTGTTTCTTTTTATTGTGTAAGCCGTTTAGGCTTGGACCCACGCTTGTCTTTTTTTATTTTATTTTTTCTTTTCTTTTCGACGGTACTTTTGGAATTTCTTTTTATTTTCCTTGTTTGTGTATGTCCTTGAATTGGTGTTGTAAGAATTTCCATTACACAAATTCCAAAGGCTTTCATCCTTCGTCTTCAGAAACTACTAATGAGCTCCTACTAGAAGAGGGATCCCCAAATATCAAATATCTGAATTAATGTAGTTCAGAGTCCCCTTTTAGGTCTGACATTTGTAGTTTTGAAACCCAATATGCGAGGCATTTTTCATACACAAATTTTTAACACAGAGTTAACCACTTGATTATGTTCTGATCTAGAGATCTTTCTTAATCAGCAAATTCATTTACTACAAGAAAACGATGTTTACTATAGACAAAAAAAAAAATCACTCTGTTTAAAGCTTTCCATTAACCATACATACTTTCCTAACACATGTAATCACTTTCCAAAATCTTGCAAAGTATGTTTTAGATTGTTTACTACAAACATAACACACAGTTCTAGCTTAAATCAAAACATCTTTCTATCAGATTTCCATGTTTTACAAGCAGCCTAGTTTGTCTTAAGCCAGGCATCCGTTTGGTATCAGACCAAGTCATATATAAGAGGATAACCACTATGAGATAAAAGGGACCGTAAGAAACAGTACTTGAAGTCGTAACCACGATCCACATAGAATGTTTTGCTGGATGTTTGTTAAACACTTATCTTTATAAAATATTTAAAGGGAGAACGAGAAGATACATATACAAGCAGAGATAAGACTACAAGTTACTTTCTGACAAATTCATTGATTTGGGACAAAGTGAGAGAAGATAACACTACGTATCGCTAATAAGATCTACCTTCTGCTATGTGTATTGGGTATTTAACCGGGAGATGTCTCAAAAGTTACTTTCTTAGAAACTGATAATCATCGGTGCCTTTTATAAAAAAATCATCTTATGTAGCTGTATCGCTATTCTAGCGGAAAAATTCATTGATTTGAGACAGGTGAAAATAATATTTGGTTTAGCCATCAGCTATGTAAGTAACATTGGCTACTTTTACCTCTTATTAGTTAATATACCGAGGGTGTTGAAGCAATCATCATTACACGATGATCACAATTATCTAACGTTGGCAACATATTTGTGATTTATTGCTGAGGATTATTAATATTTGATGAGATCAAAATCGCACCAACTTTTTAACATTTGAACAACCTTTTTCACTGGGCCCCGTCGAAAGTATAGCCTAGCACGAGCCTGCCAAATTCTGAATAAACCAGTTAAGCCCGCCGGCCCAGGGCTGGCCTAAACGAGCAAGGGCAAATTGGTAAAACTAAAAACCCAAAGAAAGTGCGAAAACCCTAGAATTCGTAGCAATAAGTACCCAGACTTAAATTCAGATTCAGGGTTCGCTCTCATTTCTCTTCTTTTCGTAGCCGCAAGACACCTCTCAGATCCTTAAACTTGCAGGTGAGAAAACTCTTATAGGTTTATATTTTTTCCATCGTCTTATGGTTCTTGATACGGTTTATGTATCGTTGCCTCTGTCTTCGTCGTTTAGATTCCTTAGCATAAGCCGTATTTTGAATGCGAAAATCGCTTACGCTATGCTGTGATACCGTTTTGATTCTATACGCTACTAGCCTCGCATGCTGTTATGTCTTATAATCAATCCGATCTGTTTTCCAAGTGTTCGTTTAATCGTGTTTTCTCGAATTTTGACGTGGAAGCTGGTAGTCTGCTGTGTTTGGTTGATGATGATTCTTAGTTTAGTTAGATTTATATTGCATTGGGGTTAGATCTTCCGATTTCATAATTCTCAGAAGATGGATTAACAGAAAATGTGTTGCAATTAGTTTAAACGACGATATAAGATCACGTATCAATGGATCTGTATTGTCTTTAGCCGAAGTTTATGCTGTTTCGAGTTTTTGTTGGTTCTTGACTTTTGAGAACATCACAACAACATTTAGCTTAAGTTTATACTGTTTGGAGTTTAAGTTGAATCCTTTGTTTTTTTAACAGAGATGGCCAAGTCGAAGAATCACACGGCGCATAACCAGTCGGCCAAGGCCCACAAGAACGGAATCAAGAAGCCAAGGAGACACCGTCACACCTCAACCAAAGGAGTAAGTATCGATTACATTTTCAAAGCCTAATTATCTATATGACGAGTTTAGTTTCGGAGTTTGATTTTGTTTCTCTATCTTTTTGTGAAAATGTTCCAGATGGACCCAAAGTTCCTGAGGAACCAGAGGTACGCAAGGAAGCACAACGTTAAGAGCGGCGAGAATGCTGAAGAATAAGCTTTTTGTTTCTCAAGATACATTTTGAGGTTGTTATGAATTAAGACTGTTTTAGACAAAAGAACCAATTTACTTTTCCCTTGTAATTTTCGTTTCTTGACTATGTTTACGCAAGTGGTTTGTGCACTCTTGTCAAGATTCTGTTCACATTCTCTTAATTTCGATTTTCTTGACTAGATTCAAACCCTCTATTATACGTATGTGTTTGTCAAGACGAGATATTATATACTAAATCGCTTGTCTTATATAATAAAAACCATAGGACAATGAGACAATGATGAAAAATCCATTTGCATCATCAGCCATTAACTATGTTTCTAGCATTCAGTTTGTTTCTATTAACTGTTAGCCGCTTAGGCTTCGGATTCCAGGTTGTTAAACATTTAACTTTTATAAAGTAATGGTTTTAAGGGAGAACAAGAAGATACAAATATGAATGGTTATACAAGCAGAGATAAGACTACAAGTTACTTTCTGACAAATTCATTGATTTGGGACAAAGTTAGAGAAGATAAAATGATCTTGAAGGCTAAGAAGATCTGCTTTCTGCTATGTACATTGAGTATTTACCTCTAACAACCGAGGGTGTTGAAACCGGTGAGATGATATGAGGTTTTTCTACTCCGCAACTAGATGAAGAGAGTTCTTAGATTCCAATGTGTGTCACCATGGCTAATCCGTTGAAAGGTGAGTTATTGGCCGAGGAAGAAGAGATCGAGGAAGCTGACCAACTCCCCGAAGCTACAAGGGAGGCTGCATCGATCAGAACCGAAGAATGACTGCTAAACCCCACAGTATATGGTGAGACATCTGGCAAAGGTAAGCTCTTGTTTAAGTATAGGACCACTTGTTCCATTGTAGGCCTTGATTCCGGCACAATATTTGAACAGAGCAAACCGAGTTTCATAACCAACTCGACTTCCTCGGGTAAGAATTCATCTCCCAATCTCGGGTCAATAGCATCAAGCAAAGAATCCCTTTTCCAACACTCACAAACCCATTTGATCAGAATTCGTTTCTCACACTGTAACTGTGGCTCCACAGGTCTCCTCCCACACGTTACTTCAAGCATGAAAACACCAAAGGCATACACATCAGTTCCAGTGGAAGCTACCATATCAATGATTTCAGGCGCCATGTACCCTATAGTTCCAACCGCTCCTGTTGGATATGCATAGCCTCCATGGTCATGAAACCTGGCCATACCAAAATCCCCTAGCCTTCCGTTGAACTCAGCGTCCAACATAATGTTTGAAGCTTTGATGTCTCGGTGCAGAACAACTTGGTCAGCACCTGTATGGAGGTAACAGAGAGCAGAGGCTATTCCCTTAACGATTACAAGTCTCTGCGGCCAAGGAAGCACCGGTTTCTGGTCATCAAACAAATGCTCGTCAAGACTACCGTTGGGCATGTACTCGGAGACCAGAAGAAGCTCATGCTTTCTCCTGCAATACCCAAGAAGTGGAACAAGATTCCTGTGTTTCAGACATCTCATGCTCACCACTTCAGACACAAACTGCTTCACACCTTGATCACCGTCATGGGACATTCTCTTCACAGCTATTTCTCTGCTTAGAAGCAGAGCTCCTCTGTAGACTTCTCCAAAGCCTCCTTTTCCAAGAAACTCATCCTTGTTGAACCCATTTGTTGCTTTGTATAATGACTTGTAAGAGAAACGATGTGCACCAAACTCTTTTTCCCATGCTTCGGTTACTTCTGCATACTTCCTTCTCCTGAAAATATACATTCCGGTAAGAACAACCAATCCCACGATAGCCAGAAAACCGAGCAGGACAATAACACGTCGAGATAGATTCTTATGTACAGCTCTAGGATGAGGAACTTCAGGGAGTCTTGAGATGCCAAGAAGCTGTAAAGATCCTCTCTTTGTGCTAAAACTCCACGAAAGAAGGTATTGATAACTGATAGCTGTCCCTGTTGCTGCAGAGAACCCAACGAAAAGTCTTGATCTATTCGGAAATATCTCTGAAAGATTGATGGGTTGTGACAAAAGAGGCCGACTTGGCTTCTGGACTTCAAGAGGAGCCATTGAGACATTGAGCATATTGCCTTCATAATCAACCCAGACATGTATTGGTTTTCCACTCAAGAGGTTTATGCTTTCGTTCTTCTTCTTTATGTCGGAATAGTAAGACGCTGAAGCTATTCCAACAGACAGGGGAGTGTGCACATCAATCCCCACATGATTGTTATTGATATCTTCGAAATCTGGATTCCAAATAGTGTCAAGCTCAACAGCAAACACATCAGAAGAAGGAGATCCGTTTTTGGAAACGTTGAAAATCCCCAAGTATCTAGTTGATTCTGCGTGCGAGAAGTCCATAGAAGGAGAGACTACAAAGGCCATGCCATGGCCGCCTTCAACTCCTGGCTGAGGCACCAAAGCGCAAACAAAGTGTGTTGAGAAGGAGAGTGGTTTAGATGAACTGAGCCTAATTGGTTCCTTGTAGAAAACATGAGCCATTTGATGATCTGAAGCGTTTGTAAGCTGCAGTAATCCATTGGGAAGAACTGTTGCAGATCCATCAAGATAAAGATTTTCTTGCCCCAGAAAGTTGTCATAGACAAAGCTTATCTCTTGTTGACATGTTAGATAAATCAGATGAAAGCAAGAGATCATTAGGATCTGAAGCAATCCACAAGTCATTGCTGATGATGATGATACAGAGAGTCTGAATATCATAACCTTGCAAAGCTGAAGAAAAAGGAAAGATGTGAGCTTGTGTTTTAGTGATGCAGTCTAAAGTATTGTTTGTTTATCCAAAGGGAATATATTAGCATCATATGCAGTCGCCAGTTTTTCCCTTTACAAACTGGACTCCATTAATGCTATAATATTAGATAAATTAACAAAAAAGCTTGATTGATTTGAGACAATATTTTAATATATATTACCCAAGTTCAACCCAATGAAGCTACGCAATGCTGCATGTGGTGTAGCCAGAAACGGTAATAACGGGTCAAAGAAACAAAACTAAACACTAGCTTATTGTCGTCTTTAGACCACTGAATTTTTGCTTCCTCAACTTGGAGCTCGCTTATACTTTAAGTATTCCGTTGGCCTTTCTTGATGCAGAAATATGATGCAAGAACAAGGCAAGGAAAACCTGGCAAAGTCAAGGAGAAGAAGTAAAAAAATAAAAAAAGTCAAGGCCCAAATCCATTGCCATTTTAGTCTCAATATATAAATAGCTCAAAAGGCTGAAGACAAATGAGAGACGATAATAGCGTAAAGGCCCAAAACCATTGCCATTTTCTGTATTATGTTACATATATATATGTTGACGTTTTGAAATCTGAAATAACTTTCTTTCTTGCTGTTTAAAAAAAAACAATTTTTTTTGGGTTTCTGACATATTCACAAGTAATCCAAACTAGTTGTTGTAAATCAACGGCTGATATAATACACTGCATTAAAATCTAATCTTGTGTCACATGTATGTCAGTTGCTACTAGTTTTTGTCGTCTCCCGTACGTGTGAGTTGTGACTATTATCCAACGCCCACATGAACGTATGTTGCTTTAACAATTTCTCAAAACATACAGATTCTAACAATCTAATTTCTCTAATTTTGTCAAAGTACAAAATAAAACTCTTCCAATAACCAAGAGGGGAAACAAAGAGGGGAAACATACGTGTATAATCATTAAGGGGACAAACATTTTCAAAGAGATTAACTGATTATGTTTAGGACAAGTGAGACAGATTAAAACAATCTTGAGAGCTACTAAGATCTGTTTGCTGATATCTATGTACATCACGAATTACCTCTGACTTTAAGATCTTATGCAGGCAATGTGACCGTTTTGACACCGGCTGAGAGAGTCTTAGGCTTCTCTGGTTCTGGAACTATGTGAAGAGAGTTCTTAGTGTCCAATGTCTGTCCCCATGGCTGATCTCCTGACTGACAAGCATAAGGTGAGTGATTGGCCGAGGAAGAAGACATAGATGGAGCTGACCAACTCCACGAAGCGGATGAGACTACGAGGGAGGCTGCATCGACTAGAACCGGAGCAAAAGTCCCAATCCCCAGAGTATATGGTGAGAAATCTGGCAAAGGTAGGTTCTTGTTTAGGTATAGGACCACTTGTTCCATCGTAGGCCTTGATTCTGGTACGATATTTGAACAGAGCAAACCGAGTTTCATAACCATCTCGACTTCCTCGGGTAAGTATTCATTTCCCAATCTCGGGTCGGTTGCATCTAGCAAAGAATCCTTTTTCCAGCACTCACAAACCCATTTGATCATATGTCGTTTCTCAACTTGCAACTGTGGTTCCACAGGTCTCCTTCCGCATGTTACTTCAAGCATGAAAACACCAAAGGCGTAAACATCAGTTCCGGTGGAAGCTCCCATTGTGATTAGCTCCGGTGCCATGTACCCTACGGTTCCCACCGCTGCTGTAGTGGCTGCATTGCCTCCATGTTCATGAAACCTGGCCATGCCAAAATCCCCTAACCTACCATTAAACTCAGCGTCCAACATAATGTTGGAAGCTTTGACATCTCGGTGCAGAACAACTTGGTCAGCACCTGTATGTAGGTACCACAGAGCAGACGCTATTCCCTTAACAACCACAAGTCTTTGTGGCCAAGAAAGAACCGGTTTCGTCTCATCAAACAAATGCTCGTCAAGACTACCGTTGGGCATGTACTCTGAGACGAGAAGAAGTTCACGCTTTCTCCTGCAATACCCGAAAAGTGGAACAAGATTCCTGTGTTTGAGACATCTCATGCTCACAACTTCAGCCACAAATTGCTTCACACCTTCATCACCATTATGGGACACTCTCTTCACTGCTATTTCTCTGCCTTGAGGAAGATTTCCTCTATAGACTTCACCAAAACCTCCTTTGCCGAGGAATTCATCCTTGCTGAACCCTTTTGTTGCCTTGAACAAGGACTTGTAAGAGAACCGATGTGCATCAAACTCCTTTTCCCATGTTTCAGAAACTTCTGAATACTTCTTCCTCCTGCGGAAATAAATTCCTGCAAGAACAGCCAACACCACAGCAGCCAGACAAACGACCAGGATAATGATCCACGGAGAGAAATTCTTATGTGGAGCTCTAGGATGAGGAACTTCAGGAAGTTTTGAGATGTCAAGTCGCTGCAGTGTTCCTCTGCTTGTGCTAAAACTCCACCAAAGAATATATTGATTACTGATCGCCGTCCCTGTTGCTGCAGAGAACCCAACAAACAATCTTGAACTATTTGGAAAATTTTCTGAAAGGTTGATTGGCTGTGATAAAAGAGGCCGACTTGGCTTCTGGACTTCAAGAGGAGCAATCGAGACATTGAGCATATTGCCTACATAATCAACCCAGACCTGTATAGGGTTTCCGCTCAAGAGGCTTATGCTTTCGTTAATCCCTTTTATGTCTGAATAGTAAGATGCCGAAGCTATTCCGACAGATAGAGGACTGTTCACATCAATCCCCACATGATTGTTGTTGATATCTTTGAAATCTGGGTTCCATATAGTGTCAAGCTCAACAGCAAGAACGCGAAAAGAAGAAGATTCACTTGTTGATACGTTGAAAACCCCCAAGTACCTAGTTGATTCTGCGTGTGAGAAATCCACAGAAGGAGATACTACAAAGGCAATACCATGACCACCTTCAACACCTGGCTTAGGCACCAGAGCACACACGAAATGTGTTGAGAAAGAGAGTGGTCTAGAAGCACTGAGCTCGATTGGTTTCTTGTAGAAAGCATGACCGATTTGATGCTCTAAAGATTTTGTCAGCTGCAATAATCCACTGGGAAGTACTTTTGCAGATTTATCTAGATAAAGATGTTCTTGGTTGAGAAAGTTTTCATAGACAAACCTTGACTCTTGTTGACTTGATAGAGAAATCAGATGAAGAGAAGAGATAACCAGGATCTGAAGCAGCCAACGAGCCATTGCTGATGATGAATCAGAGAGCCTCGATCTGATGTGCAGGTATTCTCTCACCTCCAAACGATGCATCTCATAGCCTTGTAAGCTGAAAGTGAACAAAAAAGGATGTGAGCTTCTCTTTTAGTGATCCAAGCCTATCAAACTTTCTAGTATTGTTTATTTAACCAAAGGGATCACCTTTTGTTTTTAGCTTTATTAACTGTAGTCCACTAACACGATAATATTAAACAACTTGGAAATGAAACTTAACGTGGTTTTCAAAATATTCCCTTTCAGACAATATTTTAACTTATTTGATAACTTCCATCCAAATAGACAACGCAACTGCTGCATGGGGGTACCCTGAAACAATAATAATACAGTCTAATGCGTGTAACAAACATTTATAAATTAATTAAAATGTGTCTTGGCTGGATCGTGCACCAACTTTCATTGGATTCTTCTTCTAATTCTACTTGAAGTTATCTTATAAGGAAGCAGACTAACGAAACTATTAATAAAAAACATCTTTTAAACATGCCCTTGACCTTTCAAACGCAGAATAAAAAAAGGCAATGTTTTTGTAATGATATTTCAACACAATTATGAACCAAACCGACAGTAAGAAGCCTAGGAAAGCCTGGCCTAATCATTCAACTACGAATGTTCTTTAAATGATGAATAACACAATTGATAGAAAGTAGAACCTATAGTTAGGTATACGTTGTAAACTAAGCCTTTAGGATTTCCTAATATAGCCTTACAGATCAGATCACTGAAGCTATGATTGGAAAGAGGCAATAGACAATAAGACAACCACTACAACATAACTCTCTCTTTTGCTACTCAGAATCCGCTAATTACAGCTGGAGTTGCATATAGAGCGTTTCTTTCATTGTTTGGTTATGTCACAGTAGTAGTAGCCATAGCAAGAGCAGTAAAAGAGTAGATTGAAACAGGTTTAGTTCTCTTAGACAACCTAAATTCCGCAAGAGTTCTAATACATAAAAAATTAATTAGTAGGCTGTAGCTACCCACGTAAGCAACTTTTTGTGTGGCAGCAGGAAATGGTTTTACTCCATTAATGTAAAGTGAAAAAACAGATAAGAGATTATTAGTCACATACCTGCATCATGTGTAGCTTTAAACATTTTTAGCATCTAACACAATATCAGAAGCCTAGATTAGATATTTCGGTGTACAACAACTTGGTGAGCTCCTGTGTCCACACAACTGAGAGCCAGAGCAACATCATTAACAATCACAAGTCTTAACCATCAGGAAAAACCTTCTCCACAAGCTTTCTTTTGTCTGTAGAGATAAGCTACTATAAGAACCAAGAGCACTATGATGACTTAGTAAAATAAGCAGAGCAAGAGGCACTGTCCTGAGATGTTGAAAACCACCCAGATATAAGTTGCATCAGCTTGCATGAAATCCATAGAAGCAACATACAAAACAAAGGCAGTCAAAACTCAAAAAGGCTTTTTGATTTTAAACAGAGAGCCTGGTTTCCTTCTTCACACATTTCGTAGGTAAAGACTTGTAAATTCCAGAATTCATGTTTGAATCACCAAAATGCCAATCAGATGAGGGAAATTCACCTTGACCAAAGCCTTAATCGAGGCTTTCCTTCTTGTCATGATTCTCCGGTCTCCGTCTCCGCCGTCTCTAGCCCGGCGAAGAATATCCGACGCTGAGAAGGACAACGACAACGACATTTCCGTCGAGAGGCTTTGGGAAGACGAAGGCGAAAAGTATAGGAGACTGAAACTGCCAGAAGTGAAAAGTTTGAACATTGTAAATCCGAGAATTAGTAGGGGCTAATTCATAAATTAATTCATTACAAACAATTGTATTTTTTTTACAATATTCTTTGCAAACTTAAAAAAAAAAAAAAAAATATCAAGAACACAGCGTTTAGCTTCGAGCTTAGATTTCATCGTCCAACTCCGTATTGGATCGAGTGAGTAATAAACATAGATTCAGTCGCCGGAGAAGAAGTGTTAGTGATCACGGAGGAGCTACCTCCGACCATAACCGGACTAAGAATCCCAATTCCCGGTGAATCCGGAGAGAAATCCGGCAACGGAAGCAACCCGTCAAGGTATTGCACAACTTGTTCCATGTCAGGCCTCGATTCCGGCACCAGATTCGTGCACAGCAACCCTAGTTTCAGCACCAAATCTACAGACCGAGACGAAGAAGATTCTCCACTCAATTTGGGATCTCGAGCATTGAGTATAGCTTTATTTCTCCAGCAATCGCAAACCCATTTCACCAGAAACTGTTTCTCAGGCGTCATGTTGGGCTCTACAGGTCTCCTCCCACAAGCTACTTCGAGCATGAATGCACCAAATGCGTATACATCGGTTTTAGTCGAAGCTCCCATTGAAGTTAGCTCAGGAGCCATGTATCCCACAGTTCCCACTGCTCCTGTTGTGCTTGGATTAGCTCCATGGTCATGAAACCTAGCCATACCGAAATCTCCCAACTTTCCATGGAACTCTGTATCCAACATTACATTAGAAGCTTTGATGTCTCGGTGTAGAACAACTTGTGTGGCTCCTGTGTGCAAGTAACGAAGAGCTGAAGCTATTCCCTTTAGAATCACAAACCTTTTTGACCAAGGAAGAGATGGTTCTCGGTTATGAAACAAGAACTGGTCTAGACTTCCATTAGGCATATACTTGGAGACGAGAAGAAACTCGCCTTTTCTCCTGCAATAGCCGAGAAGTGGAACCAAGTTCCTGTGATCTAGACGACCCATGCTTGCGATCTCAGCCACGAATTGCTTCATCCCTCGTTCTCCGTCATGTGAGAATCTCTTCACGGCTATGTCTCCGTCATGAGGAAGAGTTCCTTTGTACACTTCTCCGAATCCTCCTTTCCCGAGAAAACCATCTTTGTGGAATCCGTTTGTTGCTTTGTACATGGATTTGTAGGAGTATCGGTGTGGACCATACTCTTTCTCCCATTCCTCTCTTATCTCTGCATACTTGTTTCTCCTATACAGATAAGCTCCTACCAGAAGTGCCAACAGTATGACTCCAAGTAAATTCAACAGAAGAATGAGCACGAGAGAAGGTTTCTTGTTAGATTTAGGACGAGGAACCCGGGGAAGCTTAGAGATGTCCAGGCTCTGTAATGAGACCTTGCTTCTACTGAAACTCCAACCGAGTATGTAATGGTTATTTGCCAACTGTCCTGTTGCTGCAGATAATCCGACGTACATTTTCTCTTGGAGAACTTCTGAAAGATTGATGGATCTTGATAAAAGACTCTGACTTGGCTTCTGGATTCCAAGAGGCGCCAGTGTAACGTTTAGTATAGTTCCGTCATAGTCAACCCAGACCTGGATGGAATCTCCACTCAAGAAACTTATGTTTTTATTCAGACGGTCTATGTCTGAAAAGTAAGAGGCTGGAGCAGATTCGAGAGAGGTCAGGTTGTTCACGTCGATACCAACATGATTATTGTCGATGTCATCGAATTCTGCACTTTGAACAGTATCAAGCTCAATAGCAAAGATATTAGATGAAGGAGATCTAATTGTTGTGGTGTTGAAAAGGCCCAAATACTGAGTTGCATCTGCGTTTGAAAGATCCATTGAAGGAGATAGAAAGAAAGCAATCCCATTTCCGCCAGTTACTCCCGGTTTACGCACCATTGCGCAGACAAAATGCGTTGAGAACGACAAAGATTCAGATGAACTGAACTCAAAGGGCTGCCTGAAGAAAGCATGACCCATTTTCTGCCCTGAAGTGTTGGTCAGCTGCAAAAGTCCACCGGGAAGGATTTCAGCAACCCCATCAAGATGAAGATCTCCCTGGCGAAAACCGTTGAAGATGAACCCAGTTTCTTGTTGACTTGACAGGTGAATCAGAAGAAGAAAGGAGATCACCATCCAGATCAGATCCAATCCTTGAGCCATTGTTAATGCAAGAGGGTTTTTGCTATTTTGAGAAAAAATCTTGTCTTTTGAGTCAATGGTATGGTAAATAACTATCCTCTCCATCTACAAAACAAGGTTGGATCATTACACCACAAGAAGAACATTCTGCATTGTCCAATTGCAAGAGAATTGGCAAGAGTTGACTTCAACAATATGATAATATCTTAAGGCAGCTATCACATTTTTGTATTTTTTGTTAAAAAAATGACGCAAATTCCATATAACGGAATTTTCCTTGTAGTTTAACAATATTCAAAGGCAAGCTTCTCACTAATTGTCATACCAAAGTCCTACTTTTCTTAAACAATACAGATAGTTGAACTGTCACTATCTCTGAGTATTTCAACTCTTTCGAATCGAAGAAGCTACTCACATGGGTTGAATCATTGCAGGTACTTAAAATCTAGCACAAATAAGCTTAAAGACTAAACAATTTTGTCATTGATGTTTGTCAGGTTTCCGACATAACCGAACACTTAAAAAAAAAAACAATTTCGTAACCAGATTTTGTATCAGCTTTCACATTACAGAACAACAGACAGTTGATTGAGTATCTTTAATCTATTGCTGTCTCATGTTTTGGATAAAGAGTGACAACTAATTGCTTTACAATTGCAAGAGTTTACACGAAAAATCAGTCCCTTTCTATCGTTCTACCAGTCAAGCTTGATGGAGAATATCAAGAATGGACATAGTGTAAGCATATACATTGATGTAACAAAATCGAGTGGGAATGGTTCAAAACCAGCCAGTATTGAGAGGGCAAGGAAGAGGGAAGTTGTTAGAAACTTTCATCGTCCACTCCCATAGAGGACTGAGTGAGTAATAAACATAGAGCTGTTGCATGAGGAAGAAGACAGTGATAGTGAAGGGATCGCGGGTGGTGCTGGTGAAAGTGCCATTGGAGTGAGAACTCCAATTCCTGGAGAATATGGCCAAAACTCAGGTAAAGCTAGGTTTCCATTTAAGTATTGTACCACTTGTTCCATGGACGGTCTTGCATCTGGAGCAAGGTTTGCACAGAGCAAACCGAGTTTCAGAACCCTCTCGACTTCTTGGGATGAGAATTCTGTCAACCTTGGATCTCTAGCATCAATCAAAGAAGACCTTTTCCAGCATTCACAAACCCATTTGACCAGAAAACGTTTCGCAGCCGACAAGCCAGGTTCCACAGGTCTCCTTCCACAAGTTACTTCAAGCAAGAAAACACCAAACGCATAAACATCAGTTCCAGTGGAAGGTCCCATTGTTGTAAGCTCAGGTGCCATGTAACCAACAGTTCCCACTGCGGCTGTTGTGGTTGGATCAACCCCTCTGTCATATAACCTGGACATACCAAAATCTCCCAACCTTCCATTGAACTCCGCGTCCAACATAACGTTAGCAGCTTTGATATCTCTGTGTATAACAACTTGGTCAGCTTCTGTATGCAAGTAACTAAGAGCTGACGCTATGTCTTTGAGGATCGCAAGTCTTCTCCACCAAGGGAGAGTCGATCTCTCATGACTAAACAAGTAGTGGTCAAGACTACCATTTGGCATGTACTCAGAGACCAGTAATAACTCATGTTTCCTCCTGCAGTACCCAAGAAGTGGAACCAAGCTCCGGTGTTTTAAACTCCTCATGCACACGATCTCAGCGACAAATTGCTTCATACCTTCCTCACCGTCATGTGATACTCTCTTCACAGCCACTTCTCTCAGTTCTCTGCTCCGGGAGAGAGTTCCTTTGTAGACTTCACCGAAACCTCCTCGCCCAAGAAATTCGTTCCTACTGAACCCTTTCGTTGCTTTGTATAGAGATTTGTAGGAATACCTGAGTGGACCATACTCTTTTTCCCATTCCTCCCTTACTTCAGCATACAAGTTTCTCCTATACAAATAAGCTCCAATAAGAAGCCCCAAAACTAAGAAAGCTATTAAACCAAGCAGAGCATCGAGCACCAGAGATGTAGGCTTCTTTTTACTGCTCGTACGAGGAGCTTTGGGAAGTTTTGAGATGTCAATGTTCTGCAGCGACGCCATGCTTTTGCTAAAACTCCACCCGAGTATGTACTGGTAGCTCATGATTGACCCGGTTGCACCTGAAAACCCAACAAACATTCTTCTACCTTGCAAAATCTTGGTAAGATTGATGGATGTTGATGACAAAAGAGGCCGGCTTGGTTTCTGGTTGTCAATAGGAGCCATAGAAACATTGAGTGTTGTTCCTTCATAATCCACCCAAACCTGGATAGGATCTCCACTCAAGAGTTTTATGTCAATCATCCTCCCTTTTTTGTCTGAAAAATAAGAAGCGTTGACAGATAACACAGACTCAGCGCTGTTCACATCAATCCCAACATGATTATCACTGATGTCTCCCAACTCCGGAGCCAGAGAAGTATCAAGCTCTACGGCCAACACACGTGTGGAAATAGATCCATTTGAGGATGTGTTGAAAACCCCCAAGTATCGAGTTGCCTCTGCGTGACTAAAATCCGTAGAGTGAGACACAACAAAGGCCATGCCATGGCCACTCGGCTCACCTGCAGGGAGCAGTGCAGACACAAAATGTGTCGAGAACGAGACAGATTCAGATGATATGTAATCAATCGGCTGCTGGAAGAAAGCATGACCCATTTGGCGAAGAGTTGCATTTGTCAGCTGCAGGACACCACCGCGTGGAAGGATTCTTGCACCACCATCAAGGTGAAGCTGATTACCTGCTTGGCCAAAGTTGTTGTAGACAAACCTCGTCTCTTGCTGAAATGATGAGCAAACACAATATATCATCCAAATGATTCCCAGAAGCATTCCTCGAATCATTGGTGCTGAAACAAACAGAGAGAGTTATCGTTGTTCTTTTGCTTTTATTCCCTTTCTCTGCTCTAAATGGTTAACAATCATCTCTTTCTCTCTGATTGTAGACCCATTGAATAAGACATCAAAGTCAAATATTTACGACTGCTTTCGAATCTTTATGGTATATTTACCTTTCACTCAGTGAGACTTTCCACCACCTGTCTTAGTCAATACAGCAAAATGAATTCCATGAAAGAAATACGTAAATAAAAGTGGCTTAATGTGTCTTTTATATTATTTAGGGGAAAATGTCAAAAGATTGATCATTGAGAAGAAAAGGATGACGGTGACGATGCAAAACAAGTTTCTTAAAAATTAACGGATTTGGATGTGACTTTTAAAGTCAAACAATTAAACTGTCAAGGTAACGGATAACATTTTCTTTTACTAGTATAAATTATGAGGCGCAAGATACTCATTGATATTAAGATAATATTGTATGAGGTTGATAATTATTCAATACAGTATGTTATGTCAACGTCAACTTTATTGAACAAAGACCAATTCAATAGTAAGCTCAGAATGTCATTTCCACACGCTTCATGTCAATAATATTGCATAGCTATTTCAAATATCCAAATATGCAAATTTGATTACATAATCTTCATATCATATTCATATAACATTTCGAGGTTCAAAGAGTCGGCCAGCAAATTTTGTCCACAGTGAAAAAAAAGGTCAAGCATTTGAAAAGAAGATGAAACAAACTGTTAGATTTTAGTTTCCTTGTAACATAACTTGTTTCCAAGGTGGAATCTCTCAATTTCAGACCAAGTAATAAAGGAAATTGAAGGGCTACAATCTCTGAGCAACTGAGCTAATAACCTTACCTTTCGTGGGATTGAACATTCATATCCTATGACATGTTGTGTTGTTTGCTTGTATTTGAGTTCGCACATGAACATATCGGTCTCTTGTTGTCCCGTTATGCAGAACTCGCAACCAAAAACCTACAAGAGAACAACTCTATGAATATTGTGAATAAATTGACCACCCCCTTATCTGTATCATCATTATCCATAAGAGTTTTTAATTCATTACTGTTAAGTCTGTGATTGCCACAGTCAACAGAAAATAGTCCAGAGATTAACACTAAATACAATATCACAACCAGATTACAACCTTCCTCATTATATAATTACATATATACAATTTGTCTTGAATGTTAATAAATGGGAAAGAAATATCTTCAATAGGATCGAAAAATATAGCTTAGTTCAATCCAAAACATCTTCAATAGGATCGAAAAGTATAGCTTCGTTCAATCCAAAACATTTCAAAGGTTTTTTGTTTCTTTCTCCATTGCTGAGTATGTGATTACCATAATCATCTACCAAAAAAAAATCTAGAGATTTACTCTAAATTCAAGGAACAAAACCGTATTCAAATTCTAATCTTTCCATCACAGAAAAATATGCGATTTGACTTGAACATTTAGAAATGACGAACCTGCAAGTTATATGGAGGAAAGCTCAAATATTCAAAGCAAATGAATCACACATTTCATCCCCGCCACAGCTTCTTGACTTCGAAACGTTTGCATCAGTGAAAATCCAGTAGATGGAGGCTCGAACAGTAAAATTATCTTGTGCTAGTCGTAGAAACATCGGTTAAATCGTTGAATCTATCGCCACCGGGGAGTGATATCACCAATGCATCTTCGGGTGGACATTACAAGAAAGAAAACAATAGACAAAGTGTGAAGATTTACAAATATTGCGCCTCAGTGTTGGTAGAAGTCAGGAGAACCTGTGAAAGAGCGGTATAGTCGAGGGACGGTGACATCTCCGTTGGAGATTCCGAAACGGGTGACAATCGGAAAAAGTATTGAAATTTCGAGTTCGGCCCATACAAAAAACTGGGTTGTATCCGGCCCGAATTCGGCCCATACTAACAAACTGAATTTTGTGAGTGTTACTATTTGACTTTAATGGACTAGAATCGGATTTTGTCTTTTTTCTTGCCATTTGGTTCTCGGTTCCAGCATGCAAACTAAATTTAGATTACGTGATTGAGTTGGACACAAAAGTTGCAAAATCAATCATTTTGAGATTTTGTAGTTAACTACGAGGCATCCATCATTAGTATATTTTTGTCTAAAGTTGATTAAATTATTATCCTCGTACAGCAAAATGAAGCACCAAGCCAATACAAATCACGAAAAGACAAAATGACAAATAAAGGCGATAACAAGGACCTTACTTTAATACCAAATATTCTACAAATACCAAGATTACCATTTTTCCGAATCATTCAAACTCAAAGTCATAGGAACATGATCCTCAAAATAGATTAGCCAGGAAAGCATAATAGCAAAGAGTTTTGGCCTGGGAAAGAGAAAAAAAATGCGAGAAGACATAAATGTTTAGTTCCAAAAAACACAACTCAAAAGTGAGGATAGTCAGGATGGAAAGGGTTGGTGAAATCCTCGATTTCGTAGCCGTCAGAGTCATAAACTGTGGCGTACTTTCCATACTTTCCAAAGTAAGGGCAATCATCATCTGCATCATTAACCGTTGTCGCAGCACTACCAGACGGTGCATTATTGTGTGGCAAATGAGATCGACCCGTTTCCCCAGCTTGACCTTCCATATCATCAGAATCATCATCGTAAAATCGTTGACGACTCCTAGGAGACAACATATCTGGGGTAAAGAGCACACCTACAGGATTATCAGAAAGAGACAGTGAGAGATTCTCACTATGAGATTTACGAGATTCAAGGGTTTTTATAGAGATTTTGGAAGGGCACATTTACCATCTGGCAGGTCGAAGAAGGGATCGAATGGCTCTTCAGGATTACCACCACCATTATTCATTTGATTCCCAAAATGACGGAGGTATTCACCATAGCCAAAATCAAATTCTTCATCAGATTCATAATCTTCTTCTTCATCATCATCATCATCAAAGTCTTCGTTACCTTGACGCATGATGTATGCTTCGTCCCAGTTCGGGCAGCTTTTAGCACAAGTCCCCGTTTTCTTGTTCCATCCTTCTCCACAGTTGTAGCAAAACTCATGCCCACATCTAACGAGAATTACCAAATGGGATATGACATTAATACGGATAAACAAGGACAGATTGAAACGCATCATATGTAATTTTAGATTTCATGATCTTAGATAGATACCTGCAAGTTATGTGATTGCATCCTTGTGTAAGTTCAATCATCTGTTGGCACTTGCCACATTGGCGCCACATTTTATTATTTGCAAGAGATTTTAGCTTCACATCATCTGCTGGAGGATGAGGATGCAATTTCTTGTACTCGGTGCATGACAGCTTTCCATGCCACGGGACTTTACAGTCTACACAAAAGAGGCCACGACATTCAACACATCTCCTAACTCCAGATGTAGGGTACACAGACAGCAAACTCTTGGCAGATTCAGAGATCTTGGTTCTGGACATCAAAGCCGAACACCTCGGATAAGGGCAGTAAACTCTCTCAGTGACAGGTATAGCATTCTCCTTAATCCTTTGCTTCCACATTTCACTCAGCTTCGGAGTCAAAACCTTGCCACATGCATCGATAACCAGGTCAGACTTGCAGCCATCGTGAGGACATTTTGGAACCATTCCGTGAAGCAGCTTCACCTCTACATGTTGCTTCACACATTGAAAGCAAAAGCGATGACGACATTTACCAGCAGAAAGCATGCGCTCAGCATCGATATCGTTGAAACAGATAAGACACTCCTCTTTCCGAGTAAGGTTTGCTTGGCGAGGATCTTGAAAAGAGGTGACTTGAGAAACTATTGATTCCCTAGCAAGCTTATAAGCGAATTTTACCTCGTTTCCAGCCACCAGAACAGGCTGAAACGATGAAAATTGTTGCCTGATCCGTTGCAAATCATTCATTAGCATGAAAATCTTCTTTTGCTTAGGCACCCAGTTTCTCCTGACCTAAATTCAAGTAAAACACATTCTTATGAAACACAGGGCATTAAAAGCTAAGTAAAGAAGCATAACTCATTGGAATTCCACACCATTGCGCAACACACATCCGTTATAACCTTAGTACTCGCAGTCTACTCTCTACTGTCTAGTATCTAGTGAAGTTTCTTTATATTGAAAACCAAATAGAGATAACAAAGAACATGTATTTCAATACGGATTCAACAACAGCAAGAACAACAAAATGAGCAAGTGAGAGTAGTAACGCGTAACAATGAAAGGAAACTTACGAATTGGAAAATCGGAAAAGAATCGCAGAAAACAGCGACATGTTTGATCCCCAACTTGGAGGCTTCGATTAGCCCTCGTGTCAAAGCCTTAATCTCCGCTCCCTGACGATTCGTGCCACGGCCAATCAGAGGTCCCTTTAAATCAAACAAGAGATTATCCCACTGGTCACAAATAGCAAACCCAAAGCCAGCCACGACGTCAGTCATCTTCCCCTTCCCAGTCTCTTCCCCAAGCAAACCCTTAAAGTAAAGTCTATACATCACGTTTCCACTGAAACTTCCGGCGAAGGCATTAACCTTCGAACTACCCTCACCGACTGATTGCGGCGAAAGAAAGGGATACGCGTAATCATTTGGGAGGAATCCGAATCTAATGTTAGGGTTTCGGTCATTTGTACGTACACCAGTGACTGTCTCGTGGGTTTTCCCTTTACCATTGGAGTTTCCTTCGCCGAAAACGTGACCCCTGTTTCTGATACGCTCATCCTCCGAATCAACTGGAGGCGTCAAACCATCCTGACCATCTTCCTCGATGACAGCGAAACCACACCTAGCGACGACCGGAGGCGACGGTGGGCGCTGAGGAGTAGGAGATCGGGAAGAGAGTGAAGCCGCAAGCGCCTCCTGCATCTGCAATCGGAAAGCGTACTCGGAATCTGAGTCGTGACCCAAGAATTCCATAACTGTTGGCTAGATTTTTGCTCTGCAGCGATTTGACACAACTGTGCGTCCGTTTTTTTCTCGGACTTAGTGACGACGAATGAATGATTTAGGCTTCGCTTTGCGTCGTCCTTTTTTAAAAATATACATGACCCTCACGAGCGCAAGCAATACACACGTGTAGGACTGGTTAAAATTGTAATTTCCTTCACTCGAGCAAGGGGTGAAATCGTCATTAAGTATTGGTTATGGCTTACATGAGACGCTTCTTTGTTTGACCTTGGTCAAAACAAAAGGAGACATAAATTCCTTGAATTTCTTCTTAAAGAAACAGAAATTAAATTAGTTGTTTCACTGATTTTTGTTTCCTTATTCTTCTACAAATGTGATACTCATGAGCCAATAAAAGAATCTTCCTAGAATATAAAATCTATGAAGATCAATAAAATTAGTAAAGATTTTAGTGCAAGGCGTTACCAACGAAATAAATGGAAATATTGTTAGCTATAATGGAGTACGAGGTATACAAAATACAAACAATCAACGAAATTGTTTATGTTTTTTGAATATTAAATTTTCGCCAATCAAAGCTGAGATCAGGATCAATACCGTCAAACAAAGGTGATCTGAGAAACCATTGACTTCATTCCAAGCTTATAAGCAAATTTAACATCTTTGACTCATTGAAAGCTTATAAGCAATTTTAACATCTTTCTCGAAGATCGTGATACGATTGCATTAGCTCAGTCCAAGCCTCGGCTGCCTTGACGATATCAAACGGAGACTTAAACTGACTATCAGTAACCAGTGATAATTCAGGTAACTGATGATTTTTGAGTTCATGTGTTAATTTGGTGTAATTGGTCGGTTTCAACTTTAAATCCACGGGTTTGATTTGGATGTGTTGTTGTGAGCAATTTGAGTATTTTTCTGTGGATCTTCTAAGAAAAACTAGTGCACGAAAAGTGTTCGACAGAATGCCGGAAAGAAGATTTTTTTTTTTTTACAACTCCAAAACTTATCTATGTTATGATTGTAGTTTCTTGAGAATGTGGGTTCGGTTTATCTACTCTATGCAATGCAATTGGTGTTAGTGTGCTCTCTGCTTCTATAGATAGCTTGACCTTAAGAAATTGATTTAGTCCCAATTCATCATTGATCTGACTCACATTTGTCCTTGAGCTACACAGAAATTGGAAGAAACCTTTAACAAAAATACTCAATGATAACGTAAAAGTTCTTGGTTTTTTTTTTTTGTTCAATTTAGTTCCTAGACTATATCAGTTGTAGTTGCTGATAAACTATACATTATCTTCCGTTCAACAACACTGTTTTCTTTTCTTGTATTTTAATGTTCGAAAGGTTTGATCTTTAATGCTATATGCAGCTTAATTCCATGGCGCCAAGATGGAAATGGAAAGGTGCTGCAGCAAAAGCTCTTGCGGAACCTATTTCAAAATCAGTCTCAGAGCTTCAGCTCTCTCTAGCCAAAACAGAGTCTTCGGGTTCCCTCTCGAGTTGCAACGTGCTTCTAGCGGTCGAGCCAGAGCAAGCTGAGCTACTCGACCGCTGTTGTTTTGGCAGACTCGTTCTATCCTCAGAGAAAGTCAAGAAATGGGTTCAGTTATCCTTTGAAGAAGCTTTCTATTTGTTCTACAATCTCAAATGCATCAAAATCTATCTTCAAGGTCATTGCTTGGAGAACGAAGTCGACACATGGATGTACATGAAATCGAAAAGACCAAACTTCCCAGTATTTTTCAAAGCTTATTCACATTTACGATCGAAGAACTGGGTTTTGAGATCAGGGTTGCAGTACGGTGTGGATTTCGTGGCATACCGTCACCATCCATCTCTTGTCCACTCTGAGTTCTCGGTTTTGGTTCAGTCCGGTGACAGTGACCGCTTAAGAGTGTGGTCAGATATCCATTGTGCTGTTCGGTTAAGCGGAAGTGTTGCGAAAACGTTATTGAGTCTCCATGTCGATGGTAGCTCCAACAAAGAGGATTGGAATCTACCTCTGTGTTTGGAGAGCTGGACAGTCGAAGAGCAAACGATAAGTAGATGGAGCCCAGAACTCAGTCGTGAAGATGAAACCTCAAATCAAAAACCAAATGTTACCTCTGTGAGTATTTTTAAAACCCCTTGACGAACCGTTCCTGGTTAATCGAGTACTGGTTTTGATTTTCCATATCAATATAAGCATTTAGTTTCAATCTTAGTTGAGATAATGAGATGCATAACATTTTTTTCCTAGACGAAATCTCAAGTCTCCTACCTTTATAATTTTAGGCATCCTTTATAATTCAGAATTTTTGGGTTCACACATCTTCCCTGCAAAACCAAATATCAGATGACACCTACAAATTATCCAAAAAAATGAAAACCATTCATGTCTATTTTCGTTTTCTTCAGATACTCGTTTATAAAATGGCTGTTATTGTTATACTAACTGCAACGCACATAATCTACTTGAACAACCAAAATAGAGATTATAATCATCATCATACAACAACATATAACCACAAATGTTAACCAAAAAAAGCTCAAAGTTATATATAATAGAGTACTAAAACCACAACTTAGAACCTTCTTACATCTATAGAAAAAGAAAAACTATACTAAAAATCTCATCAATACTGATAATGACTAGGATGAGATTTGGTCATCCTAGCCTCACCGGCAGGTTCATCATTATCAATCCTCTTAACATTCCGGTAAGCTGCATATGCGATCACATAGAAGATAACAAGTATGATCAAAACCACAATGTTGATCACTGATACCTTTCTCCAACTCTTTTTTAAGCTGCCAAGAACACCAGCTTTGCAAGAGCTACATTGGTAACAGAGTAGTCTCTGGTCATTGTTCCACAGCATACAGTCCGGGTTCGATCCCACTATCTCTCCTCCTGGAACCCACACTGTCTCGTTCATGTACGTATAGCCACAATCTGTTGGCGGCTTGCAGCATCCGGACTGCAGATTTGAGATAAATATAGATCACATGAGGTTAGGTTCGAGTTGAGATAACCATAAAAAAATGCCGAAAAAAAGTGGAAATGGCAAGGGATTGTTTGGAGAAATTCTATCACAAGAACTAGAGGTGTTACACACTCACCTGACTCGTCAGTCGTCACTCATAGGTATACAAAGCCTGGACAAAAATCTTCATGGGCTAAATTTCTAACCAAAACAGAGCACTCTAGAGTAATTGTGTAGGACAAAAGAGAGACTTTGACAACAACCCATGGGATCTTTCTATTTATGTAACACTAGTACACTACTTGGTCAGTTGGCCACTATCAATAGGTTCTGCATGGCGATTACAAGTTTCAACATTAGCACGATAGCTCAGCATTTATGTGGATAGGTCAGAACGCATATATTTATGAAGAAAAGTACAAAAGCTAGAACATGGCCAATAAGATCCAAAAATCAGTAAACACACAATTTAGGAGCCAGACATTTCTATTCGTTAGCTCTCACATGCTAATAAAACAGCTTCATTTATGGTTTCCATAACAAGTTGGAAATAAAGAATAAAACTGAAACTTCTATGTTTTGTTTTGGTTACATATGTTTCAGTTACGTCGTTTAAGAAAGAAAAAGAACACATGAATAAATTATTTATCGAGTATTACTACATATCTGGCGGAGTAAATGTGGAGATAAAGCTGCAACAATATTATACACTCCACTCAATAGTCAACAAAGTCTATCATAATTAAGATAATTTCTCAAGTTTTCTCACTTAGTAATGGAGTTATGAGCATTTCTTATCTTTACCCCAAACGAAAAAGGAGTTATGGGTTCTAGATTTCGCTTGAGTTTTTGAGCCTGAGAAGTGGATATCCTAACCACAAACCTCATGGAAAAAGAAAATCCATTTCTTTTTGCAACTTTTCAACAGAGCGGAAAGTAACTAACATTTTATGTTTTAGATTAAGACATGTAAGAAAAGAAAGAATAAGACATATTTTTCTAAACTAGCCAAAGATGATAAAGAAGAACCAAAAGTAAGAAAATTTGAATGGATCGCTTCAAAACTCAGAATTATTGTTTTATCCAGAAGAAAAAAAAAAACATTTACCTCAATAGGAGTAAGCTTTCTGAAGTAAAACATCTGAGGAGTTTCAGGAACGCCATTTAAGTGTCTTCGAATCTTCTTACAAACTCCAGAGTCCCTCACACACGACGCGATTTGCCCCCAGTTTCCATCATCCGTGACTCGATCCTTCAACCAACCCGAATAATCACCGAGATAATAATCAAGATACCTCCGGTTCATCACAAACCGGCCTGACCCTTTATCGGTGACGGCGTAAGCGAAGATGATGAATGCTATTAGAGCAGCGATCACGAAGAACATGACGAAGAGGTATATCCACATGAGGAATTTGTTCCGGTAACAAGCTCCGGCGATTCCGGCTAAAGATACGACCATGATTGAGATTCCGATGACGATGAGCGGCCATTGGAGGAACCTCATGCAGTCGGTGGAGTTTGCTCGGCTGCTCAGCCATATTCCACCGCCGAGGATCGGAATCGAGAGGAGGAAAGTGAGGAAGTTCACGAGACCTATAAGATTATTGCTCGTTCTCATGGCGTTTTTTTTTCTTCACTAAAAAGAAAAAAGTTTGTGTTGCTCTGTTTTCTTGTGCGGTTCTCTGTTTTGTTGTTGACGTCGTAGCGGTGAGGAAGAGGTGATGATGAAATGTGAATTACATGAATTTGCATGCTCATGCTGTCTGCTTGTGACACGTGTTAAGTGACGGTTTAAATAGTTTTTGTATTTTTTTAATTTCTTTTGGTTATGTGTACACTTTGATTGTTGTGAGTTTTAGTGAGTTTATACACGTGATTAGTAGACTGTGTGGTGCTAATGTCCTAAAATCGACATATTGTAATTTTAATTTCTCGTTGTATTAAGAGTTTATTTTTAGCTAATATACTATTAACCAACCAAATGTAACTGTAAGAGAAAACAGATATTTTATTTTTAGCTAGACCCACTGTGTCCTAAAATGCACTTAGCGATAAAATGTATGCTTTAGCTTTTTTAGTTGTTCAAGCTTCTTTTTGGTTTTCCCCGACCAACCATACTATCAAAGTCTCTTCAATCCGACCCCTTCTAAATTTCCGGGCACTGCACGCCTTAAATTTATATATATATGTTATTGATAAATGGTGGCCTTGGCCAATATATGAATAAGCCAACATAGGGCCCTTTTTTTACTTTAATGTGATGGCCCATTCAGTCAAGACTATTGATTTACGGTTTACATTTTTAATTAAGAAGAAAGTAGATTAGCAAAGAAAAATTAAATTCCTTGACATTTGACAGAAACAAAAAGAATATGAAGAATAACAAAAGTCTTATATACATACTTTGTGTCTGATAGGTTCAGATTTTTCTATGTTTTGGTTTTTATTTAACTTTTTTTTGTTCCCTTAAGATGACTATCTTCTTTACACACTATATTTTTAGAGGAACATTTTCGCTGCGACCGGAGAGGCAAAACTAACATAGTCAATAACCAATTGTTGACGAATAAGTGAATAAGTTTTATCTGTAATAATTTACCAACTTGCACACCAAAAAGAAATTAATAATAGTATTAAAAAATTCCCGGCTTTGGACTTGGGAAATGTCTAAAAACCGAAAATTAAAATTCAAAAATCAAAAACTATCCTCAAAACGACAAAGGAGTACGCTTTGTCTTGCTGCGTTTTGGAATAACCTTTTGTTCCATTCTCTCCGCTTTCTTTTCTCAGACTCACTGCCCAAAGCCACAACTCACATTACCTACTTCTCTCTCTCACATCGCACACTGTTCACTCTTGGATTCCGCAGAGTTAAAGAGAACTTTGGTTTTGAATCTCAAATCTCTCTTCCCATTTGATTTTTTTTTACACATTTTCTTTGGCAAAAACTGGATCTTTTCTTCAAGCACGAACCGTCCTCGCAGCGTAAGGAATTCCTTTGGTTCCCCTGAATTTGGTTTTGATGATGTGAAACTTTAGATACACTGCTTCCTGGAAAATGCAACAGCTTTCCTGGAAAATGTAGTTTCTTTTCCGAGTAAAAAGTTGTGATTTTTATCTCTTTTAGTTGTTTCTTTTTGGGTATACCGCCTTTCCTTCGCATTTTACGTTACTAGTTTCGCTTAATCGCAGAAAGTTCGATTATTGTGTGTTTTCCTTCTCAATAAGATTTTGTCAGAAAAATGAAAATTTAATTTTTTTTCCTCCATGTAATGATGAATATCTGGGAACTTGATTTTGAAGGAATTAAATATTGTGTTTAACAGTCTTGAAGCTTGAAACATCAAAAATGTCTCCTTTTTTTTCTCTTCATCTAATTTTAGTGTCTTTTTTTTTCGAGAAACTATTATCTAATTTATGTGTTGTTATTGTGTGTTGTTATTCTTATTTCAGTTTTTATCTTACTTTTGAATAAAAATCTTGGGATAGATTTGTGTTGTAGGAGTATTACAGTTCTTCATATCTGGTCTCATTAAAAAAAGGGAACTCCTTTTTTCTTTGTTTTTGGTAACTTTTAAGGTTCAATGTTGAAGCTTTTTCTGTGCTGCACTGTGATTGTTTGCTAATGCTTACTTTAATTAACATGATGATTGATTGATTCACTCAAGTGGTTTTATAAATTAGATTCTCCTTTTTCATGGAAAAGTTCATCCGTTAAACCAAATAGATTTGATTTCTGCTTGCCATGTCTTTGAGTGGGTATTAAATCTGTTTAGTTTATATTAAAAAATCTATTTTTTCCATGTAAAAGACGTTTAAATTCATTATGATAGTAGTTTCTTCAACGTCTAAGTCCCCTCCTTCCACGGCAATAATGGAGGAGAAGTTGGAACTTGATCTAGAAAATTACAGGTTAACCCTCTCGTGTTCCATTTAGGAGGGTGAATCTGGTAGGGACATAAATGTAATTCTACCACCTTACATAAGCTGCTTGTGTAGTTGTGTAGGACCCTTTGGTACCAGCCTTCATGATGATAGGTTGTGAACATTGCATAGTTAAGAGGCCACAAAGGATGATTCCTTTTTTGTTATTTTATAGTCAAACAACTTGTGTAGTTAGCATCAATGGTTACAGTGTCTAGATATGAGTTGGTCGTTCTTTCTTCTTTTTTAATTTGGTTGATTTGGATAAAATCCAATTTTTTTTTGGGTTTATCTGTATTAGAGTTGCTTACAGTGCAGTCTTTGAAATCATCTTTTGGCGATATGTTGGTTCACCTGAGATTTGACTCTGATTGTGTTGATTGCATCTGTCCCATTTTATAATATTGGGTAAAGTGTTTTATTCTCCATTGAGTGAAATATTAAACACCAAGTTTTTTTATGGTCTTTAGAGGTATGAGTGAGCAGGTTCAGTTGAATAGAATGGTCTCAAGCATAAAAGACACCAGTTTTTTTTTGTTTTGTTTTGTAAACTCATGTCTGGTCAAATTTTATGAACAGGAGGGTATGCATTGAATCTTAATGCAGTTTTACGGTAATGCACAATCCAAAGAATATCTTTGTCGACATAAGACATAACTAAGAAGTGCGATAAAAGATTTTGTTTCTTTTAACATGTTCATTTTCTGGTAATGGATTTGATTACAGACGTAAAGAAATATTTTTTACGCTTATACTTTCTTTGTAATAACTCCTATCATGTTTTCTCTGCCATTGGATTGTTAACTATGTCTCCATCTTTCTGCATTTAATATTCATGAGCTCTCTACAATTCTTGGTGGGTCAGGCTACATTGAAGAAGCAAAGAAGAGGCTGGAAATATCTTTTCGGTAAACAAGGTTTTTCATTCATCCTGTGCATTAGAAGGATAATATTACAGTATGCAGACCCAAAAGGGAAGGTAAATCTTGGTTCTTGTGTTTCTATAGTTTCTTTGCATTTATGGCTGATTCTTCTCCCCTTTGGTGGTTTTCTTGTGGGAGTTGCTTGTCAACACTGAATCTTAAAGGTTGCATTCTTGTGGTCCTCAATACTGATTGCTTCTATTTAATCAAATCCTATCACATTTTTTCGCTAATCTCTTTTTGAACAAGAAATCTATGTAGCCAACAAGTTATGACCTTTAATGATTTGTTACTATAAGTAAGAAGTTTTTTTCATTCTTTAGCACATTTCTTACAACTGTGGAGTATGGATATCTTCCTGGTTTTCAATTTCTCATCTTTTTGTTTTTAATTTTTGTGTGTTTTGGAGCAGAAATGGATCTCCAGATGTTCCTAAGAAGGTGTCTCCTCGAGCTGCTCGGCCACTGAAGATACCAGCCCTAGAACCTGACTCTTCTTCATCTCCTATCCCATCTAATAACAGAACACCAAAGGATAAAAGTCCAAAATTTCCGGACCGTAGATCTCCACGAAGCCCCGTCTCCGAGGTATGAGCCTTTTGTACTAAGCTTGTTTTAGATTCAGGGTCTTGAAAGATTTCCTTTTTATTGTTTTATTCCTTATTGGTGTATCTAGATTTCATCAAACCTCTTTTATTTGCATGATCCAAGATAAGTCCTTTCCATCATAACATGTTTCTGCAACGACTTTGATGAGGAAAATTTAGCATACAATTAATTTCGGTGCCTATGGGATCTAGAATTAGGTAGAATATTTAATTTGGGGTAGTTGAGAGATGAGAATGTAACTATTTTTCACTCAGTTGTCTGTTTCTTTGTTCTCCTTGATATTGCCGTAACACTGCCATGTTTCTTTACTAACAGAAGAAGAGGCCAAGTAGAATAACGGAGCTAGAGTCGCTAGTCTCGCAGCTTCAGGAGGAGCTGAAGAAAGCGAAAGACCAAGTCACAGTGTCTGAGACATCAAAGAAGCAAGCAGAGCAAGAAGCAGAGGAGTCCAGGAAACAGCTACAAGAAGTTTCCTCAAAGCTCGAGGAGACCACCCAGAATCAGGTTTTGGAAGTTTCAGCGTTGGAGGAAGAAACCAATAAAACCGCTGCTTCTGATCATCGAAGTGTATCTCAGGAATGCGATTTGGAGTTTGGTGCTACTGCTGATGAAAGAGCAGGACTGGCTGTTGTTGTTCATGAGATCCAACAACTCAAGCTTCAGATTGAGATGGTGGCTTCTTCTGAAGCTGGTCATGTGAAACAAGCTGAGTTGCGTAACTCGGAAATTCACCTTTTGAGAGGAAACTTAATGGACACAGTTTTTCTCGTCGAGAATTTTAGGAACCAGCTTAAGGACTGTGAGGTATCAGATGCTGAAACCGAGGCTTTGGCCACCGAAACTCTTAGGCAGTTGGAGAATGCTAAAAAGGCAGTAGAAGAACTGAAGTCAGATGGCACAAAAGCAATTGAAAGTTATAAGAAGATTGCAGTAGAGCTTGAACAGTCAAAATCGAGGATGGGTTGGCTTGAAGCTCTTGTGAATAAACTTCAGACCAATCCGGGTGATTTGGAAAACCACGAAACCTTGCTTAAAGACTATGAAAGTTTAAAACTTGAGGAATCAAATGAGATGAAGGAAGAAGTATCTTCCCTGAGATGTGAGGTAGAGCGACTGAGAGCGGCTCTAGAAGCTTCTGATAAGAAAGACCAAGAGGGGAATGTGGAGGCTTCTTCTCGGTTACGGATACAAGCTGAACTCCAGTCTGAATTAAAGATAGCTAAATCCGAGATAGACGAGCTAAAGGCGAGGTTGATGGACAAGGAAACAGAATTACAGTTTGTTTCAGAGGAGAGAGATAACATGTACCAAAAACTGATGAAGAACCCGAAAGAGACAGATGTTGAAGCTGAGCTGAAGCAACTAAGGGAGGCGATCGAGAACTTTAAGGCAGATTTGATGGATAAAGAGACAGAACTTCAGATCGTTACAGATGAGAACGAGACACTAAAATCAGATATCCACAAGAGGGAGACAGATGTACAAGAAGCGCTCATGAAGCTAGGGATTGCAATGGAAGAAGCTGACAAGAGTAGCAAGAGAGCCGTTAGAGTAGCCGAGCAACTTGATGCTACTCAAGCTTCAAACTCAGAGATGGAAACAGAACTGAGGAAGCTCAAAGTACAATCCAACCAATGGAGAAAAGCTGCTGAAGCAGCTACGGCCATGCTCTCTGCTGGAAACAACGGAAAATTCTCTGAGAACTATAATCAAACAAACTCTCCTTACTCGGAGGATATCGATGATGAACTGACAAAGAAGAAAAATGGGAATGTGCTCAAGAAGATTGGTGTTTTGTGGAAGAAGCCTCAGAAATAGCTGGAGACAGACTAATATAATTAGGTAATCTCTTTTATAAAGTTATCAACTTTTTGGTCAATGGTCTCTCTGAAATTCTCTAAAGGAACTGACTTTCTCTTTGGTTCTGCTTCTCAGGGTACCGTTGATATGGAGCTGGATTATAAGAGCAACTCCTATAACTCTGGTATTGATGTGAATCAGTAGTTTGAGGACTTTGTTTTGAGAAAATACATGTTCGAAACATTTGCGTTGTGATATTTTTTAAGTTAAGGCACGAATGCCTCCGGTTTATTTAGCAAGGTTGGAATTTATCACTGCGCCTAATGTAAGCACCAATCTGAATAAAGTATGTTTAGGATTATTGAAACTCTGCCACATGTAGCGTTCTGGATTGGTGTTGTGCGAGTATCAGCACAAAGTTCTCAGGAGTTTTGCCACCACCACCGGCGACCACAACACAAGCTATGGTTATGAGATTGATCGATGGTGAGCTAGTTCTCCATGATCAATCATTCAATCTCATAACCATAGCTTCTGGTCATTAGATGAAACAAGAAAGAAACGAGAGATCTGCAGCGCTGCTGGTGGCAGAGCTTCCGGAAACTTTGTGCTGAAATAGTCCCACAACAGCGATCCAGAACCCTATCTATGGCTGAGTTTTAACAACGTTACAATAATACTGTTTGTTTACTATATGTACAAGAAAATAACGTCACAACAAATGTTGAGATTGGGCTCGATAAGCCCAACCCTAAGATAGGATCTCCCAATGACTATATTCCACAATTAAACACTATCTTTTTTTACTAACCGTTTAAAATTCCAAACCTTTTGGAAGTCTTCCAGAAATAGAATAAAAAAAAAAACACTCGCTTTAAGAGACGTTAACGTCAGTTTTCTTTGTTTCCAAATACATGCATAAAAATTGAAAATTTATATGGTTTATAAAAAATGTAGAGATCAATTCGTAAGATAATGAGTTGGGTCTTTTGTTTTTCTATCAATCATTAGTTGGGTTTTTGTGTCTTCTTGATTATGGGAAAATCTTACGTCAAAACTCAAAAAATAATCACGATCGTGTTTACGGAAATATATATACATAATAAAATTAGTAATAGCAACAATATTCACTTAAAAGACTCAAAATAATATAGGTGCATGTTTCTATATCTATAATTATAGTTCTGTATGTACATAAACACGTGTTTCTGTGTGTAAACAACAACCAACCAACAAAGATATTTTATTTATTCAAAACATTCTCTTAACCCTTAAGTGTGTAATAGCCGATGTAAGCAAAATTAGTTAGGTGAGATCTCTCTTTGTCATATTATCTCTGGTCTTACATTCTCATCCATAAAAAAACCGATATATACACTTTATACTATCTAAACCGCAATTTTCATGGGTACTTAATTTAGACTTTCTGTTTTCTCTTAACCAAATTTCTCGTTTAAAACCATTAAAGTGCTGATATCGTAGTATTATTGTCCGCTACAGTATATACATACCAATATTTATTTGAAATCATACAACAACATTACCAAGATTGAGATTTTAAATTAAATCATAACTTACCAAGATTGAGATTGATCCTTTACGTCACTAAATCAATTTAGTAGGTTTTAAAAAGATGAAAAAAAAAATAAATAATTAAGTAGACACATTAACGTCATTGACCTATTAATTGAGAAGCCTCGAGAGGTCAGATTTTTTCCAGGAGAAATTATTATTATTAGGACTCAATGGGAGAACTTAGGGTTTGAAGTTAAGCACACAATTTGCATTCGTTGATAAATTATTAATTTCACTGATATATACCTCGATTTGTTGTTTATTCCAGAAACCATTCGAACTTCGGTAACAAATATTAATCCGAAATTAGAAAAACGAAGGCAATGTCTCATTTAAAACATAGTACAGCAATGAACATATAAAAGAAAGAAACACAATAAAACACCCAACCCCATTTGAAACTCTTTTAAAAAACCCTAATATAACTATATATCCTTGACCATTTCATAAAATAGCTCGTCCCCATCTTTCCTCCCAATAAATATGAAATATGGAACCCTAAATTAAAACCCAAATGAAATTGAGGTTTTAATTTGAACTACATTAAAGCACCAGAATTAATATAGTTCATATTGGTCCAAATATCTCTCCCTGAATCAATATGATCTACATGACCACCTCCTCCTCCTCCTATGTTCATCATTCCAAAACTCTCTCTATTAATCTGCCATGGAAATCCCCACAAAACCTTGTTTGGATCACCCATCGCAATATCCAAACCGCTGCTCCCGTTTCCAAACGCATAACCAGCGTTCTCCTTTTGATGGCTTGTCCCAAACACACTCTCCATATCAGACTGATGAGAGCTACCAAATTCTGAAGGAAGCCCTAGCTGTGAAGAACTCCCCAGAGGTTGCTTGTTCAGCAAGGCAAAGGCTAAACTGAGATCAATCTGTTCATTGTTATTATACCCGCCAAAACTCGCCGCCGAGAAAGCTTTACCGTCGTGGGACGTCGGTTCCGGGGTGGTTCTGAGGCTTCTTGACGCCGAAGATGTGGACCGTTTGTTTTTCCGGCAGCCGCCTCCGACGGGGATGTTCCTTAGGGTTCCACCTTTGGTCCAATATCTCCGGCATGATTTGCAGAAGTAGCGAGGCTGAGAGAGGCTGTAATTGTTGTAGTAACAAAATTTTGTGTTTGTTGAGTCGCAACGTGGACATCTCAGAGCTAGCTCAGGTGGCTGTGGCCTCGCCGCGCCGGTCGCCGGAGAAGGTTTCTTCTGATGGTCATCTTGTGTTGGGTTTGATGAACATGATACTCCCATGGCTTCTCTTGCTTTGTTAAAATTCTCAAAAACATCCTTTAATTAAAAAAAAAAGAAAACACATCAAGATTCTAATTTAATCAAACAAAATTCCGTCAAGATGTTAGTGATTGTGCATATAATTGGAGTTTACCTGGTGCTGTAACAAATGATCCATAAGAGCTGAATCTGAGAAGCGCCTTGTATATTATTAGATGAGTGTGAGTATGTGTAGGAGATGGAGATTGTTTCTTGTGATCAAAGAGAATGATGGATATGAGTAGAAATGTAAAGTGAAGCAAAAAGGAAAGCCAAGCATCTCTATATATATACACAGTACATGGGAATGTGGGAGGAGAGAGAGACACATTTGTGGTGGCCTCGATCCAATATGATTTTTTTTTAAACTATGATATTCTGAAATTTAATCTTGATATTTATAAACAATGGTATGAAGAATAATGTGAACTAATTCGGAACGTGATTTGGAACAGACCATAAAGCCGCCGTTTGTGATTTTTTATATATGGGTATATGAATCGTATCCTACTGTTCATTAAAATGTTTTGCGTATATATTATATAACACTACACCTAAACACAAAATTGTAAGTTTAATTGTAAGTTTGATATAATTTTTCTTCTGATGATTTTTGGTACATACATTATAAGAATAGCGCGAGATGATAAACTAAGACCTTTGAAAGGTCGAAAATAAATATTGTCGTTGTGTAATTATCTCTTCAAATTGAACATGTTTTAAGAGTTGTGCAAAAAAGGTCCTACTTTACAACAACAAAACAAATATTTTTACGATATTAATATTGTGAAAAGCTATAACATAATATTTTGGAATAATCGATATCCAAAATTAAAAAAAAAAATTATTTCTAATAATAAGTTCTCATAATATCTAACATTTACCAAGTAATCGATCCAACATATATATATATATATTGATTATAGTCTCATTTAAAAGCAACTACAAACTTTGCCAATCAAGTCTCATTTAAAAGCAACTACAAACTTTACTCAAGTAGCCTAATTAAAAACCATATAACTAGAGTCCAAAATAATCACTAAGCTCGCTAAGATACTCCACAATAATGGATCGGTCAAATTCTTATAGCGGTCAAATGCACATATGAATATATGATGATGGGTTGCAATCGTTATCAATAATGTGAAATCGATCTCTATCCCAATTGATTAAGATGAATAGTAGCCGTACGATGATGGATGTGAGTTGGTGTTTAACGTCGGATTCCCACGCACTCTCTCATCGTCTTTTTGTATTGTAACATTTCTGTTTTCTGTCCCAAACGGTCCGTTGAGTTGTCACAACGTGGGACCCATACTCATTGCGATGTCTTGTTTCTTCCTTATGGGACCGATCTTTTCTTTTCAAGTGATCACCTTCGTATCGTAGTCGTACTATACTGGAGTGGGCAAATTAATATCTCTATTTTCCGTTGTGATCCATTACACATTCTGATTCATTCTAAAAATTTATGGATAATCATAATTACACATAGCAAATGAAATACAATTTTGTTTATGGCAAAACAAACCACAAGCACTGTAACACATATAATAAAAATGCATAAAACTTATTTGGGTTGTTTTAAAACCTTATTAATTTGATTGAATAGTTACTAAAGAGTTTTAAAATGTTTCACTTCCATCACCTAATTAGATCTCTTCTTTTTTCATATAATCCTAAGCATATATTTTTCGAAATAAATAAATATAGTGACACCTTGGACAAGAATTTTTATCTGATAGGACCACAAATGTTTCTTGTTTTTGTTAAAACATATTGGACTAACATTTCTTCTAAAAAAAATCTTATCTTACTTTAAATATATAATCTGTCGAACATATATATTATTTTGCTATCGATTTCTCGAATATAACTACTTGTGGATTTTGAGATTTATATTTGATCTAATAGTTAATTGTTTTTGTTGTATCTATTATCTAAAAGTTGATCTCAAATTAATATCAAAAATAATTATGGTTCTCTAGTTGTTCTGCATTTAATTAGTACATATACCTCGTGGTTATTATTAATATATTCTTACTGAGATAACAAACAAATCATATCAGATGTACGTAGTATGCAATAGTAGGGCAACTATCATCATATATCAATAAACATACTTGTAATAGACATAATACTTACTTGATTCATTAATATTTAAAAATTGTAGTACATGTAAATAGGACGCATGATGAAGTAAAAGCAAAGAATTAGCCAGAGAATGTGTAGCTCATGATGTTCTTACATTATCCCATGGGGATTTAAAGTTCATAGAGACACAAATCATACTAAGACATTGGTTTTCGGAAAAGAGACTTCTATGAAGACCGAGATTTGGTCTAAGGACCATACCCACACACATAAATATCATAAAATATTGCTTTTAATTAGAACACCCTTTAATATAAACATATATAATATACGGTTTTTAAACGTTGTATCCTGGGAAGAGAGAATAAGTAACTCCCACCAGTTTTTAAATATATAGTATGTCGTGGGAAGAGAGAATGAGTAACTCATACTGTATTTGCTTTCTCTCTACTGAATTTTTTTGGCGAATCTATCATTTTTTTCTTCTTTTAATTGAAACAAGAGAATCATGTTTCTTTCTATCTATATAAACGAAAGTATTAAATTTTATGTTATCGGATTATGCTACATCAGATTTTAGAAAAATGTAGAATTGAACTTTTAAAAATCAATCATTCAATGCATCCCACTTAGTATACTTATTTCTTTCGTTCTGTTTTGATAGGATGTAAAAAAAACATTTTGTTATTAAACTGTAGTTTTCCGCTAGGAAAATTAATGATTCATTCACAAAAAAAACAGGTCTCCAAATATAAATGATGATCATTATATTGTCCTTTGGACCCGACCTTTTTGTGGCTCCCAATAATAATCATGACCATATACTATAAAATTTTAAACTTTCGATGACGAAATTCTAACACTAATTTAACTGAAAATGATCATGGACTGGAAATGCGTTTTGTATAAAACATCTGAACAATACACTTGTATAAATTTCTCGATTTGTGTCATTTTTTAAATATATCCAGCTTATAAATCGAAATTATAACGTGGAGGTTGTACTGTATATAATGAACATATAGATAATTAAATTCAAAGGACATTACAATTTGAATTTAGAAGTAGGGATTGGATTCGACTTTTTTGAGTCAAAGGTTTTCAAAATTCACAGGCTAACTTCTTCGACAGAGACAGAGAGAGGGAGAGTACGCTGAGAGAGATGGAGCTATATTGAATCAACTAAAACGAAATGTGAATATGTGATATTTATTATCATAAATCGTTAGTGAAAATCTCAAAATGGCGAGAAAGCTAGCGCAATAAATTACCAGCTATAAACTAACAAAACCAACTAAGCTAGTCTTCCTGTAAACGCTTCCATAAATTATCCCATCACACGTTTTATTTCATATGCGACCAAACTAAAGCAGAGTTTGGATCGATACTAACTCTTAAACAAAGAATGTATAAGAGAGTAACTGACAAGAACTTAAAAGATAAATATGATTGTCTTGAAATATCAAACTAATCTATAAACTTAAATATATAGAGGTCAAGAAACAAGGATGATAGTGAGTTAGTGACATAGCATGAATCTTCCATTTTCAGCAATCAGGAATCGAACATTATAATATGTCTATATTTGAATTGGAAGTGGTGGACCACGGAAAATATAAATGGAAAAATAGACATAGAGTTTTGGGTTGACTAGTCAAAGTTGTGATATATTCAGTTGCGTTTTGGAGTCTTTAGTAGACAAGTGACAAAACTGGAGTTTCTTGGGCAATAAAAAGACGTTAAAGCAGATCGTATTGATAAGAGAGCTCTCGCATATTATGAATCATACTGCAATCTATCTCGACATGATGTACTCCTCATTTATCATAGTTTATAGAGTGATCGTTATCGGAATTTTAATTTATATTTTATATATAACACTTTTTTTTTTATTCGGATTCGTCCAAATGACTCTTACAGCTAGTAAGTATATATATATTTGATTTTTTCGGAGAGATGCTAAATTCGATAAGTAATGACAACTTGTTCTTCATTGCAACGTGAAATTTTTTATATTCTTAGTTATGCTACTATTGTACCGTTGGTGTGTACATGGTTAATGGTCTAAGCAATTGATAAATTAACGATTGGATCAAGTTGGTCCATCTCATAATTAGGGTTAAATATTATAAACATCGTAAATACAGATTACTACTAGTAAAAAATTTGATATATACCAACGGAAAAAATGATGGTCATGGTCGAAATGATCCTGATAAATAAAAAGTTAACAACTTTGACAAATAGGGATATAACTTAATTTAATTGGAACTGCTGCTCTTTTTTTTTGCACTAATGCCTGGTAACAAGAAGGGCCTAGAATTTCTGTTCGAATAAATTAATTTGAATTCTCTTTTATGAAGTAACTCTTTCTTTTTTGTTTCCTATCAATAAGTTAAGTCATGAACTTAGGTCATATTTGTAAATGTACGTAAAATCACTTAAAAATACAATTAGGATAGGATCTCATGATGAACTACTACACGGATCGTACAAATGACATACGAAGCAATTAAGCAAACAAGAAACCCTAAATTCTGATTTAAACATTATAAAGAAAGAAATAAGAAAACCTGGAAATTTCCGGACAAATATTCGGGTGTGGGGCCAAGCCAAAAACCGACGAAACAGAGTGATTGGCCGGCGGTATAAGTGGGACCAAGATGCCGGCTAATGGGATGACACGTGGCGGCATGACAGAGGAATAAATTGGAGGAAATCGAGGAAAGAAAGAATGATAAGTGAGAGCAAGTGGTTGCAGCCTGATAGGTTTTGCATGTGGTGTCTCACTCACAGTCAGTGTATAAAACTCCCATTTTTTTTGAAAAAAGAAACACATATACTTATTAAATAGTAGTAGTCTAGCCAAATCTATCTATTTTCAAACAATATCTGACAAAAACATTAGAATCAAATATCATTCTACATTTCTACTCTAGTTTGGTTGTATACGTAGACATTTAGGAATTGGAAAATAATACTATTTTAAACATTCGTAGGATAAATGTTCCAAGATAATGTTTTTGGTTTTATTTTGTTAATTACAAGTGATCAGAAACTACATTGTTACCGTAATAAGATTCAGTTATGTTTTCTACATCGTGTTTTTTTTTTTACATTATAATTTTTTCTTATTGATCTAATAGATAGTGTACTAAAGCAAATTAACCAAAAATAAAATAAAATATTATCTATTGCAAAGCAATGTTTTTTGGAATGCTACTAGTTAAGGAAAATTGTAAATCTTTTAATTTCTTGTTGAATTATTGTCTTATTGCTCTTCCAACTAGAAGCGTTTTTACTTTTTTATAGATTAGTGTTTTTACCAAAATCTGGCATGATTATTTTAACGTATAGTCCTCTTAAGTTACAGTGTTGAGAACACTGACAAGAGACGTGTATTAAGAAAATACTTAAGATTTAGGATCGGATTTGAGATTTGAGGCGCAATTTCCATAGGGACCCGCATATATTCTTGCCTCCATCTTCAAGCAAAGCATCAAAGCGTAGATTCCCATGCAGCTCTCTCTTTTTAGCTTGTCCTCATATTTTAATCAAACATGAGCTTTCTTTTGTTTGTTTCCACTTTAGTGTAAATTTCTCTCGGTTTCGGAAAATAGATTCGTTTTCACGATCTATACTTTTTTTGCTCTTTCATTAAGTTTCGGTTGCTTTTTTTTTTTTTGTTGACAAAGTTTCAGTTGGTATTGAACATATATTACTATTTTTCATCATTTCTTATTTTAGAAAGTTTTTTTATTCATCTATAACTAGCTACTATTCTCAAAAGTAGCTTAAACGATATGTTTGAAAGCCCTTTAACAAAAAGAAAAACTGATTTTTCTAAAAAAAATGATATCTTTCAATTCATAAGAAGTATTTAGTTTTAATTGCACTATGACTTAACCACAATATATCGTTGAAAACAAAAATTCTCTTCACACAAATAATCATAAACTTTGGTTAAGAAAATATAATATCAGTAGTCATCTTATGTGAAGTTCATGAGTCCTGACTGGAAATTAACATAATAAGTTTGAAAAATTTAGACGTTTTTTGTGTAGTTTTGTTGTCTCGACAATGTATTTGGCTATGTAAAAAAATGTATTTGGCAAAAATAAAACAATCCCATCATTATTGTCCAGAGAATCCATTTGATTATTTTGTTTTATAGAATTTTATCATTTAAAAAAAAAAATTGATGCCGTGACGTAGACGCGTCACTGGTTCGCGTGATGGAGAATGTGTTCATTTTCCACTGCGGGCCTGTGTTAACAACTTAATATTATCTTCTTGAATGAAATTGGGCCTACAGTCACCAGACCAATGTGGTTTAACTACATCTTGAATTTGAAGATTTAATCTTTATTCGTTGGACTTCTATTTCGCACAATCCCGTGATTTGAGCTCTGTAATTATTATACAAAAGCTTTGAATTATAATTAGTTATTAATCTTTTAATTTATTTCTTTAAACTCGAGAATTTTAATTTTAATTCTTTAAGAAAACACAGTTTGAGTGTTGACCATTAAAAAAAAAAACAGATTCACCAAACAACAGTTTATCTCAAATAGCCTTGTTTTGACCTTACCGGTTAGAAGTAGAGCAGAACTGGTTTCCGTAACCGGTGAAAATATCAAATATTATAGTTCCGGAATATCCAAAAAAACATGATTCAACAACCATTTCTTTATTTACTCGCAGTCTTCTCAGACATCAAACTTTTAATCAGCCTCAATATGTCTTCTCTCAAATGGCTAACCGATTCCGGTACAGTCTCCTTCACATCAGTAAACCAAAACTCATCCCGGTTCTTCTTCATTCCTCCAGAGCTAAACCATTGGCATACAACCTGAGCGATCGCAAGAACGTAAACACCACAATCGTACCCGTTCTTTTGCTGCGGTGTTGTATCATTGCATTCTCTGTATGCTGCATCTCCGTTGGACACAAATGGAGAAACCGCCTTGAAGAGCTTTTCCGCGTTACGTTTATTCATTCCCATCAAGCTATCGTGATGGAAAAACGAGTTTGCTTCTTTGTAGTAGACGAGCAAGCTCCAGTGTAATCCGCCTTCTGCTAGCTCGACATCGAGGTTGTCGTTGACAGGCAATATCAGGAGGTCGATGTCGTTTAATCTCAAGGGTTTCATGAAATCTTTGAGGGATTCAGTGTCAGGGTAGTTTGAGATCCAGAAGGCAATGGAAGGAGGGATTAGTGAGATAGTAGGGCAGGTGTGGACTGTGGATAAGTAGCTTAGGTAGAACTCGATAACACGATCGTTTAGGAAATTTGGCGGCTTTAGGATGTCCAAATCTGATCTCCTGAGGACAACATCGTTGTAGCTGAGGATCTTGTCGTCACACGAACTATATCCCATACCGTATACTGATAAGCTTCAAAAGGCTACACTGGAGGAACCTAGAAAAGCTGCAATATGCATATATACACAATTTGTTAAGTGAAAATGAAGAACATGTTTTTTTTTTTTTGAAATGAATGTAAATTAATGAATAACATGTTTTCAGAAAGTAAAATCACGAAGAACAGTTAAGAGCCTGAGTCATAGGCTGAATCACTTTGTCAATGAGCAAGCTTAAGCTAGAATTGCTTAACTACTAGCCAGAACGTTATAAGTAGCATCAGATCTTAATGCCAGGCATAAAGTCAAAACTAGAAGATTCCCAGAAAGCATAGACTTAACGTGCGTAACAAAGACATAAAATCAAAGAGTTCGTTCAGGCATTTTGTCGAATAGTTTCCGTTCACTATAATATTTTCAAATTTCTTACACCTTATACATCCAAACGAAACCAGTGGTTCTATAAAATTGAATTCAAAAAATTGATTTGGGAAAAAAAAACTATCGGCGGAAAAAACATTTGGAAAAAAAAAAAACTATCGGCGGAAAGAAACTTCCGAAGGATTCACTCACAATATGCAGGATTTGAGCAGGAATGAATTGAGATATGCAACGAACTCATAAATTACCAGTTTACCTTGATTCTCTTTATCTATACGCGATTCCTAGATCAGTTTAGTTCTCCAGCAATCCACCGCTTGAAAAACTGTAATCTGATTATCTGAAGACAGAATCGTAACTAAAAAACAAATTAATTTATCGCAAAAATCTGGAAAAACAAATGGAAAACGAACAATATATTAAAAAACAAAAAAAAAAATGGAAAACAAACCCAATTTCGGCCCATTAGTCTAACTTCAGCCCAATATTTGGAGTTTTGATCGTACGAATATATCTCATTAAACTAATCCGTTTATATCTAATCAATTTATACTTTCTTGAACGACAAGAAATTAGAGTGATCGTATGGTTTTCAAGATGTGGGACTTGTGTTGTGTAACCGTTATAAGTGTAAAGCCGTGATTGTGATCGATCAGATGGCTAGGAAGACATATTGCTCCAAGTGTGGTCACGATTTTGGTTTCTTCACCGCCACGGCGTCACCATTGAGAAAATAAATAGTGATTCGCTTCATCCGATGATTCTTTGTCCTCTGATTATGGAAACTCTGATCACTGATCATGGAAACTCTGATCACGGAAACTCGCTGGATCTTGGCTCCGATCCCGTCTCCATTGAAGCTTCTTAGTGGAAATATATCGTTTCTTTTAACAGAAAAGTTAAAATGAACAAAGAGTTTAAATATCACATCATCAATTTTTACAGTTTTCCTGCGATGATCAAAGTAATTTTTTTTTTCTTCGTTTATAAATTTTTTTGAACGAATAATTATTGTACAGAAAAATTTAAATTGGTGTGTTTTCTTGATCTGTAGAATCAGGCTAATTTGATCTTTAAGGAAGTGTACAAGAAATGTACAGAAAAAGATCGAAATGCCTTTTTTGCTGCATGTATCTACATTGCATGTCTGACAAGAGGAAATGACTCGGTCTATTTATTAAGGGTTTATAATCGAAATTGAAAGATTCTGGTTCCTTTCTTGATGTAGCTTGTGCCAAATTGTAGTTGAAGCAGCTTCTTCAAAACCCTCTCTTTTGTAGAAATTTTCAATGTTGCTTACGGAGCCAGCGTGAAGAAGATTTCCAAGGCACGTAACGATCATAGATGAAAGCGGCTGAATTTACAGTGAGTAGTTTGTGGCCTTATAGAAGTTTTTTGCTGCATTGAACTCGTGGTTAATAGCTCTCATTTATTGACATTAATTAATTATTTATTGACCGATTTTTGCTCTACACTTAAATTGGACAGCCACAGTGAAAGCTGTTAAAGAGGCTGAAAAAAGTTGTGAATGTGTTAATAGTGGAGTAAAAAGTTACTTTGATCAGATCCTTAGTTTTTTTGTTAGTTTGTCTAAATAATACAAGATAGCATTCTGTTTTGGACTCTGTTTCGGTTATCAGATCCTATTCTGTCTCTCGGAATGGTGAGGGAGATGAAGGACATGGGTTTTTGTTTCGGACTCTGTTTTCTAATTTCTTTTGATCTGTTGTTTTACACTTTAATACGTTGATTCATGGAGAAGAAGATAGAAGCCGCTGAGAGAGAAATTAAAGGAGATACAAAGTTGATCAAATACTGAGTCTTGGATTTATTCTCGCTCTTCTCACTTACAATGCTCTGTTAAATGGTTTGAGTTAAAAAACCAACTCATAATGACAGTACCAACTACATTGTAATTGGGGCATTAAACCAAAGACTATTGATGAAAACATAGGCCATAATATTTCATTCTAAGGAAGATTGATTTCCAGATGCTGCATGTTAAGATGGAATATCTGCGGCTCCATTGACTCATCTGATCATGACAAGATCATGGAATGTACTTTCGCTTTATCACCGCAGGAGTTTTTGTTTGATCTTTTAATGTTGGTTATTCTAGCAGTTTAATCTCCATATTATACCTAACTGGTTAAAGAGTCATTGTGGTGGCACTCTCAATATTGAATCCATTGTTTGTGAAACTTCACGATAGTTTGAAATTAATTCAGATTTTATTTTTCTGTTTCCCAATAGATCCCTGAACTTTTTTAATACTACACTTACAATTTGGCCACAAACAGAATAGACACTTACAATTGGACTATAAAGCAATCAAAATTTATCCTCTGTTACAATTTTCTATGTTTTTCTTCTTCTAGATTTGCTTAAACTACAAAATTCAGTCGTGTGAAGGGTGAACATGTTTATCCGATGCCGGTCGATATAAATTTTAACCCCGGTTTAGCTTAATAGTCAATAACCGCGGTCTTTTTCTTGTTCCATCTCTCTCATTCAGGTAACTTATTTGCTTTCTCTGAAAAACTCGATAAAAGAATCTATCATTGATTGGTTATATATCACTAAATGGTACACTTTTGAGTTTTTAATGCAATCCGATCTCACCTCCAATTCTAATTGACAAAGCCATTGTGGTGTGGAACACAATTTTAGCCATAGAGACTTTCTTGGCTCATGGATTTGGAAGAAGCTGTTAAAGTACAGAGATCTGGCGAAAAGTTTTTGCAGAGTGGAAGTTAGGAATGGGGAAAACACATTCTTTTGGTATGACAACTGGTGTGGATTGGGACCTCTCTTGGATCGCACAGGAACTCAGGGGCCACCACATATGGGAATCCCTACAAATGCTACAGTCGGTGAGGTTTTGAACATGCGAAGACGAAACAGACATCGTCGAAGGCTGTATGATGATATTGAAACAGAGCTTGCAATTGTTCGCCAAAACAGAGTAACAAGCGAGGAGGACATGGTCCTTTGGAAGTCTAAGGAAGACAGCTTTCGGCAAAGGTTTGTGTCGAAAGACACATGGAACTTGATCAGGAGGGTACGGCCAAGAGTAAACTGGTACAAAGGAGTTTGGTTCTCCCACGCAACTCCTAAATACTCGTTTCTCGTTTGGTTGGCTTTCAAAAACAGATTGGCTACAGGGGATCGTATCAAGAACTGGAATGTGAACGCCAACTCAACTTGCGTTTTCTGTAGTGATCCGATGGAAACTCGCGATCACCTTTTCTTCTTGTGTCCCTTCACAGGTAAAATCTGGGAGAATCTTGCAAAGGGGCTCTTAAAGGATCAGTTTGTATCGGAATGGGAAGAGATACATGACATCCTCACCAAGCCTCTCTGATACAAAAACGGTGACCTTTCTTGTACGATACACCTTTCAGATTGCGGTTCATTCGATTTGGAGGGAGAGAAATAAAAGAAAGCATGGTGAGACACCATTGACGAGCTTCCACATTACCAAGATTATCGATAAGAACATCCGAAACTAGTTGAGCTCGATTCGCAGCAGTGGAGACATGCGATACGAGGATGGGATCAGAACTTGGTTTGCTACTAGATAAGCCACCGGATTGAGTTTTCATTCAATTTAAAAATGTTTCGATCAAAGTTATAAAAACGTTTTATTTTTTTCTTGAATATAATTTAACATTAGATTCAAAAAAAAAAAGATTGTGAAACAGTCTTGACGCGAGTTTGCTAGTTGCTACTATCACTCACGGTCGACGATATCATGTCATCCATGGCTATAGTCAGGGGCGGATGCAGAAATTTATATAGCATGGGGCACTAGAATAATTTTGTATAACTAATATTTAGGTTAAATGCATTTTACATAGTTATTTATGAAAATAAAGAAATTAGTGTGGGGCACATGCCACACCCTCTTATGCTCTACATCCGCCACTGGCTATAGTATTAATGGAGTCAGGAAGATCAACATTTGACTACACAAGTTTTTTCAGCTGTTATATATGCTCTTAGTATTTGAGGTAAATATTCATCAATCGATAAAAATCAGACATTTATAAGTAACACTAATATACTTTTTCTTGGTAATAATTAAAAATGTGTGTGTATGTATGTATACTCACGATGTGTGTAGATAAAAATTTGGTTGCGTCTTGACTACGTTATCGGATTCTTTTCTATTCATGTGTCACATTTGTAGAAAAATATAGGACGTTTAGATGTTTTGTCCCTTATCTAGTAGCTACATTTTATGATTAATTTACTAATCTGATAAAGGAATTTCCTTGGTTAAACAAAGAAAAACAACATAAAAAAAAAAAAGGAAACTCGATCGAGGCCCCATGAGGGATGATGAGATCAGTAATGGAAATTATGTAGAACAAAATTATTCTGGTGGTGAATTTATTGTATGATTATTTCATTATTTATCGGAATCCACCCCTGAATAGGAAAACGTTATAGTAAAAAAAATGGAAAAAGGAAAACTCCAGCTATAAGATTTCCTTTTCCTAATAGAAACAGATAATCTAAAAGTTAACCGACAAAACAAAGACTCTCTAACTAGTATAAATATATATCACTAAACCCCTCTACACACAGATTCAATTAACAATCGCTCAGAAAAAAGTTCTCACACTTAATTCTCCATAATCAGATTCTCTAATTAAGATTAATAATTCCTGTAGTACTAATGGCAATCTCAGATAATACCTTCTCCATGTCGACAATGTACGATGCTTTGCCAAATATCCGTTCCTCATCAGAAGGAATCTCCGGTACCAATATTCCTCCTCCGGGATTCTTCATTCCACGCGCCTACGCCGGAACAAACACGCGCTTAAACCCTCTGTTCAACCTAATGATTACAGACAACTTGACGAGAGCACACTTTAAAGAGGTGATCTCTTCAAGGTTAAACCAAAGACAGCTTCTGTCGATGGCGTCGTTGCTGACGTCAGACTCCGATGCCTTCATGGAAGTTGTCCGAAACAAGATCGGGTCGACACGCGTGCAGATGCTCCTCGGAATGTCAGATGACGTGGACGCGTTCTTCTACACCGCTATCTTGCGCCGTTTCCTCCACATCATGACGGACAAGTACGCATCCCGCGTGGCGATACGAGCAATGTCCGTTTTCGACCAGGAGAAGAGATATGTAATGTACGAGCACACTCTTTACCACGCGCTCGACTTAGCGTGTGAACAACACGGCTGCATCGCGCTCAACGAGGTCATAACCGACGCGGATGATCCTTGCTACAGAAATCTGCTGCTAGACTTGGTCGCGCGCAACGCTCTCTTCCTAAGCAACGACGCTTCAGGGAACTTCGTGGTCCAACACGTGCTTCAACTGCGTAACTTGCGTTGCACGCATAATGTCGCGGTTAGTCTTCGTGGGCACTGCGTTGACTTGTCGTTTAGGAGGTATGGAAGCTACATCGTAGAGAAGCTTCTGCAAGAAAGGGAGACGATGGTTGTGGTGGTTATGGAGTTTTTGGAGTGCGAAGGAGGAAGGTTGATGAGGCTTGCGAGGAATGAGTTTGGGAATTTCGTGGTGTTCAAGGCACTGAGACTCACAAAGGATATGAACAGAGCCGATCTGTTTTGGGATTTGGCGCAGAAGCTGATGCCTTTTCTCCACCTCTTGCGTAGGTCTCACGGAAATAACATTGCAAACATCTTGGAGTCATGTTCGATAACTACAAGATTCTCTAGTTAAAATTGTTTGGTTGTTCTTTAGGTTGATTTCTGAAATCTTGTTTAATGAAGTTTTTCACTGATGTTTTTGTAAGGATCCAAATTTGATTCACCGTTCATGATCGTTTTTCGTTTTTGTTTTCAACTGAGATCAAGATAAGTTTAATGAACTGGTTCGAAGATTTGTCTTTGGAAGTAGAAGATGTCCAAAAGATGTTATATGAGACGGGATAAAAAGACTATCACTTTAAAAAAAAAAAAATAATAGAAAGAAAAGAGTAAGGAAAGACAAATCAATTGCTTGCAGTAAACCTTTTCTTTCTTTCTTTATCTTTTTTTGCTATGACAACTTGACTTGCTTATAATTTAAAAAAGCTATACTATTTTTCAGAACTAAGTTTATTTGCGATTTGAATAAGAATAAATCAGAGGCACCACCGCAACTTCTACCTCTGTTATCGTTGGACTTGGACAGTTTACATGCATCCACAATTTGCCAGCATTCCCAAACAAATCTATCGAAGGCACCCAAACATCAACTTCTTTGGCTCCTGCAACAGAGATAAATCATCTTGAATACTCACATACGCTATCAGAACCAATGGATAAACCAAAATCACACATTAAAGAATAAATATAGACAGTACCCTTTTAGTTTAAAAGTGCTCTTGAGGAGTCTATGTTGGGCCCTGCATCTTTGATATAACAAACGGTTTCTCTATGCGCAGCGGCGGAAGCAGTTTGGAGTAAAATGCTTCCAACCACTTGGGATCAATAAGAGCAAATCCAACAAAGCAGAAACATCTCTTGATGCCAGAATCACATTCCATATGTCCTATTGTACACATCTCCGGGACTTGGAATCCGAAATTTCGGTTCTTCATAACCGTTGTTGTATATGCTCCCATTAAATCCCAGCCGTTCATTCCTAAGAAGCTCGGCCATGCCTAGAGAGTTCACACTTTGGCCTTCATTCCACTTATCCCAGTGACCATTAGACAAGACTGAATTTGCAGATGGTTGTTGTCTTGGGAGCTGTGAGAAAGGAGATATGCTACTTCCCTGTGTCTGATGATCCATTAGCCTTGAACTAAATCCGTAAGGATCGGAAAGCGAAGGAGATAAGTTTCTGACATCATTATGAAACCCATTAACTTGTTGTTGTGAAGCGGACAGAGACTGCTGTCTCAACATTCGGAGTCCTATTTCGTTCTCAAAGGAATTCATTTGTGATGAGAATCCTGATCTCTTCTTATCCAAGTCTGCATTTATCATCCCTCTTCCAACAGCTAGAATTGCAGGATCCGCAAACTCAATATCACTTACACCACTCGGATTACCAACTGGAGGCGGTACTTGATATGCATTCCTCAGCAAGGAGGCAGAGTCTAGAAAACGAGTTCCTACGATACAAGTTGACAATAGTTTTAGTCTGTCGCATCAGCCACACTCTCTAAGCTACCCCAAAATAGAAGGAAAAAAAAATACCTGGTGCAGTATCTGAAGATAGGCCCATTCTTTCATGTGAAGAGAAGCCAGGAGGAGGTAACCTGCTGGGCGCAGAAAATCCTGGAGGAGCAGAGACTTGAGGTCGTGAAACTGCAATAGGGCAACAGAGAAACAAATTGGAAACGTGACAGAAAAAGATCCCATCCAAACAAGAAACAACGGAATGCCGTAAATAAGCTGTAAATACTAACCAGGAGTCTTGTACGACGAGAATAAAGGACTAGCAGCAAAGTTTTCCAATCCACCAGAGTAATTTGAAGCAAATCCATTTAGACTCCCGAGATTATCCCGATAGATATCTTGGCTCACTACAGACTCCTGAATAGGCTGATCTCTCGACACCTGCCCATAAATGCTATGGTTCTCATTGTCAAATGCTTGATTATTAGTCTCTTCATAACGCGCAAAAGAAAATCTGGACTGGCTGTTATGTTGCTTTAGGAAGTTAGAAGGTTTAAGGGTACTAGATCGCTGATCAACTTCACCGAGTAACTCTGCCAAATTGTTGGGTGAAGTTAAGGAATCATCCCATGGATCGAAGTCGAGTGACAAAATGTTTGAGACTATATCGTCATCTGCATTACGAACTTTGTGACTGCCTTCATTAGCAAACAGAGAGTGCACCGCATTAGACATGGATTTCTCACCAAATCCATTTGGAAGATTCATTCTAAGATCCAAAGAGAACCTCGAATCTGATTCGTTCACACCTGAAAATTCACAAGGCAGGGAAGAACGAGAAGACAAATGATTTGCATCCAAAATGGAACTTGAAGAGTCGGACAGAAACCGCGAGCGGATAATCTCCTCTTCAGGGTGATGCCGTTGACTATCAAATGATGATATATCCTCCACTTTCAATTTTGAGCCAACTTGCATCTGGGACTGCAAATCTGATCTCCAATCCCACTCTGGCGTTGTGCAGGGGACTCTATTCTCTGATGGGATAGCTTTCGTATCAGTGTTTATAGATTGCTCTAAATGTGGCAATTTTGATACTTCATGACCAGGTTGTCTAATAGAACCTTGATCACACGGACTACCAATCGCCATTGGAATATCAGGACGTTCATCCCTAGAATTCGTAGCTATCCCCATGCCTGAAACACCAACCGACAAGTTGCTAACAGTAGGGTTATCTTCTACAGCTTCATTAAAATCGTCAAACGAGTTCATAGTAGCTGAAGGCTTGTCAATGTCTCTGCCATTATGGGAAGAGTCTATTGAACTGGATAACCGATTGCTATTAAAATCTCTATCAGGTGAGGTAGTTCTCTTGGACCCAGAATCAACCCCAATATTATGCTGCAAATGCTTCATCACGGTAGGTTTGCTTTTGTCAACAACTACTTGGCTTTCTTCTTTACGCGATGGTCTTTTAAGAGTGTTACTAGAGGATACAGGCCCATGAGCTGCATTTGCAACAACAGCAGAAAAGGGCAAGGTTCCGTTTACTGATGTTGATCTTTGTATATCAGAAGATCCATTTGAGGTAACTGAAGTTGCTAAAGACTGCTGGTTTGCAATATGTGTTCCCCTGTAACAGCATCATCATTTTATTAGATTGACCAATCAAAATACTTTGCATTGCATAAAAAGCAGCAAGTGAAAACTTACCATGACGCCGCAGCAGGAAGAGCAGTGGATCTGCTAGAGCTCCCACTCCCACTAGGTGGAGAATACCTGGGAACACTTGCTGCATTCTGCTCATAGAAAATAAATTGAGACATGCCACATCATTAAGCTAGTCACCAACTAGGATTAACAAATAGGAAAGCGTTTATATGTGGAGTATTTTTGTGGTTAGTCTGGGGTCATTTGAGGCATGGGAGAGTTTTTTTAGGCTAAAGCCCATACGAAATAATGGTTTTTAATTAATCTATACTCGTAAGTTAAGAAAACATATTCTTGGAACACATGGCTCAAGCGAAATTGCACATCTTGTCAAGGGAAAGCTGAGATTTCATTGAACTTACACTTGAAGGAACTTTTACAATTGGTTTTGCAGAAGAACTGTCACTGCAATAAGCATCCAGTGGTGGAGGTAGCATGCTCCCTGAACGGTGCTGCAGAATATTTGTTGTGCCAGTGATTTGTTGAACTCTGCTCCTTCAAAATTACTATAAGACTTAACTAATCATCCAAAAATACTAGACCAACCATATATTACACATGCTAAAAATAATGGATTCACGAAAGAGAACAATCATTAATTATAAAATTTAGATGTTTGTTAAAATACCTTGTATAGGCTGATATGATCTCATCTTTTGTGAAACTATCCTCTTGAGAACCAACCTCGTGCAAATAGAGACAATCAGGATTGATGCATGCCTGGAAATAAAATTATGCAATTCATCACTCCAAAGACATCAATTTCAACTTTAATCTGAAAGGAGGTAACTAAAAGAACAACTCAGGGAGCCAAAAAGCATAAGGATCCATAGAAGACATACAACATTTCTCAGCCATGCATGACAATACTTGGTTGTCCCAAAACATGCCCTGCAATATATATACATATTATCGTTAAGTGAATGAAAACAAGATTAAAAACACTACCCACATAGTTTCAAACAAACAGGAAGTGAGGGAAAACTTACTTCAGTGGTTTACCATCCAAGGTAAACCCATGAACAGCCTGAATGCAGCGAACAGCCTCTTCCTCTTTTGCATAAGTAATATATCTGAAATAACAATAATTATATCAGAGAAAACAATAATGCAAGCAAAAGTAATTAAAAAAAATCATGATTAGGGGCTAAATTTGGTTGACAGAAAACGCACACACTGCATGTATTGTTTGGGAATTGTTGTATGACACCAGATGCTGTTCGGGACATGGAAACCTTTAGCACTTTTCCATACTGACCGAAATATTCTTTATGATGGAGTAGCTGTAAGAAAAATGGAGCACTCGTCACATAGCAATCAACAAAGAAATGATTAAAATAGGTTGGATGAAGGTTCTCATACATCTTCATCTGCTAGATTAAGGGGCAACCCGACAATGTAAACAAGATTCCTTTGGATGACTCGCACACTGGTGAGTTGCTTTCTCCCTTCAGAAGGTTTTGATTTTGACTTTTGAGTCTTCTTGCGCTCCATGTTGCCTTCAGCAGAGGCCAGACTGGGAACAGGTGAAGATGTAAATCAGCAATTTTGCCAGACTAAGATTAAATTCGCCAAAAAAGATTGCATATCAAGCATCACATTATAACCTGTCACAATTAACAGTCATCCCTACAATCTTTTCCTTGTCATATGGAGTGCGACAAGCTGGACAACGCCCTTCTATTTGATCTTTCTCTGCCATGTCCACTATGTGATGCCAGCACCAAACACATATCTGAATCACATACACACAATCATTGGTCAATGAGGCCAGCAAAAGTTGTGTACTTGCTCCACTGAGACATTGCTTATCACATCTAATCTATTTAATGAATTACAGAGAAACCGCAGCAGAAACTTCTAGCTAAACCAATAAAAGTATATGCTGATTATTGCTATTGAATATGGCAGTAAGCACAACGGTTCTCACTAAAATGGTCACTTTTACGACTAAGCAGTAACATATAAATTCTAATTATCGGAATATGAAAGCAGTTGCCAAGACCTGATAGCCACATTTGCAAGGCTTCAATTGCTGATCAGTCAGATCCATCTCCTCAGCACACAGTGGACAAGTCTTCTCTCCATGGTCACTCATGGTGGTCTAAAAAGAAAGATTATGAAATACATTAATCATAAAAGTTAAGGCCACAAACTAAGAAAGTAGAAAGGATTTCGTGAGCCATCAAATAAAATATAAGCATAAGCCAAACTACGACTGATAACACGAGCTCAACTACCACACTTGGCTAAAAGCTAAAAGGCTAAAATTTTGATCAATACTTATTAAGCATATTCGCGATCCAATCCTAGAATTTGTGTTCACTCATATCATCAACCTTATCCTAAGCCAATTCAAAAAGTAGGAAAACTCTAAAATTTACTTTAAATATTCGAACTTTCAGATCGATACTAGGAATATAAGAATCACAAAATGCATCAACGATCACGAAACTCCGGGGAATCGATCTGTGCATGTGCCTCGACGGTTCAATTAGAGACGCGTCAACGGACAAGTGAAAACACATCGTTAAGAAATAATCACCAATTTTTTATTTTTTTTGAGAATTACAAAATCTCAATCACAATTGACAATCCAAGCCAATAAACCAATGATCCCATGTAAAAACCCCGGGAGCAGAAACAGAATTAGGGTTTTGAGATTCAACAGATTCAAACTCCATAAGAAAAGATTCAATAAGAGGTAAAAGGAAAAACATACGAAAGATTGGATTGAGATTGCAGATGAAGAAGATCGAGATGAGGAAATGGAAGCTCGAACGAGAGCTGGAGATTGCGAGCGAGAGAGAGAGAAAGAGAAAATGGATGGCTGTGATTTTGGGTGAGATTGCTTTTTTAACCCTTAATTTTTGCCAGATCCACGTTGCTGTCTTGTTAAACTGTAATAAGAAAAAGAGTTAATGAAAAAACTTTTTATTGCCCTTTTAATTGCTGATTTTATTACTATATTCAGTCCGGTTCGGTTTTCATTACCCGGTATATGTCAACCGGTTTTTAGGGCATTTCATGTTATTACCAAAAATCACTCAACCACATGAAATCTTCTAGTCTTAGATACTTCGTTATTACCAAAAATCACCTAACCACACATATAAAGAAAGGGGCATTCATAGTTTGACTACAAAAAAGTTTTCATTTATTTGGGTATTTTCCAAATTCTCACCTAACCTGTTATGGTTATTTAAGATATAATATCTGTTTTGGCTAGAAATTGACCTTATAAAAAATATGGAGATATGCTACTCGAATTCTTTTAATAAAACACTGAGTTTTGAGTTAAAAAATTCTGAGTGGACCGATAATCAGTGACTATTTTGACCCAGAAGAATTAATTTCAACATGCCATCAATTGAAACAAACGATTGGTAAGGAGGATTTGATCGTTTGAACTTTCGTTTATATTAATTAAGGCCCAAATTATCTAATAGAAACGGCTAATCTGCACTGCTGTATGCTGTTAAAGTTGGATATATGCCAAACAATCTACGTAATTCAATTTCTACGCTTAGCGTTACTTCTAGAGCGGAGGAATTAGAGAAATGAAGAAGAACGAAGACATAAAGAGACTTTTGTTGGAGTATTGAAGAAGACAAAGACATAAAGATAACAACTATCTTGTTCTAGTAATGCGGTTTCTAGCCTGATCGGGCTCTAATTGACTTACAAATTTGATCACAGAATTGGTTAGAAAATGGACGATATGTTCACTTGCATTCACCCTAATTCCTCTCAAACATCTATAATTTTAAAGGTTCAGCCTAATAAATATCCCTAAAAATGATAAGAAAACATTTTTTCTACACATTTTATTTCTCAAGTATACCAAAATTAACAAAGTGAGTGTGTTCAACAAAGTTTTAACCTCCTAATAGTGGTTAAAAAGGGTTAAAAGCCAAAGAAAAGAATGGTTAAAGTAGAAGAAACTTAGTTTTCATTCTAAAGCAGGAGGAAGACCTTTGTTGGTATACTTTGTACAGTCAAATGGTCCTACTCCTTGATTGTTCTTCTTCTTGACCTGACAATCACAAAATAAATGAATTCAACAAGTTACTTTCAAGAACCAGTTTTGTAACATCTACTTATCTTTTGGATGATATGAAAGCTTGCAGTGAGCTATTTGATTAGTGGGCTAGATAGTGAAAATTTACACTACATACTATTGTAATCTGTCATACTAGTAAGAAAATCAACCAAACTAAAATCAAGTCCAAACGTTTCAACTGTTGTTTCCTTTTCAACACTATTTCAGGTCGACGGACAAATGGTAATGAGAGAGGGAGAGAGGGAGAGAGGATTATACCGGAGACCATGGACTTGGTTCAGGAGCAGATTTGTCGGTTGGTGAATGTTGTACACGTCCACTTTTTAGTGTTAGGATTTCCTACATTTTTTAACAAAAGAGATCTGCTGAGGCATTGCCAAATAATTCTATTTCATATGCAATAACAGCAAGTAGATCTTCAGTTTAAAACCCTGGTTGTTGTGTACATCGATGAGAAATTTATATTAGTTTATACCTCCCCAGCAGCCTCAAATGCAGCTAACCACTCGTCAGAAAACGGAACAGCATTTGGAGGCTTTACAATTATAGGATCAGGTTTCTTCTCAAGTTTAGCATCCCTGTTGAAAAAGTGAATTATCTTAACATAAGCTGCACTGAAGGAATAGAAAAAGCGTACTAGTGGAGACTGGATTAGATTACTTACATTTGTATGGTCTTATCATTGCCTTTTGATGAACATGTACTACTGCTACTGCTTCCAGAAGCATGGACTCTATTGCTTTCTGATGTCAAAGTGTCATCGCTCAGCACATTGAACTCCTTAGGCTGCAGATCATCTCTGCTTGAGAAAGCCTTATTCATGGGTATTGGAGTTCCTGATTCTTCCTCTGTGGTCACAAATGCTACAGGATCAGGAAAGATCTTTATAACTTGAACTTCTTCTTCTTCTTCATGAGAGCCGAGTTCTTGATCAGTAACCTGAGCACTGAAATCCTTTTCAGTACCTATTTGGGTTTCAGCTTTTCCAAAATAGTTATACTCAATACATCCAGAGTTTGAATCCTCTTTCGACATGCCTTCGGAGATTCTGGACAAATTTGTGTCCTCATTTAGAATCTCAGGATCTCCAACTGATTCACTTAGTAGAGTTTTAGTTTTTCCACACTGGTCAGATGCAGTATGGATAGCTTCTGCTTCCAGGTATTCTTGATTAAGAATGCCCTTGACAGAAAACTCATCGAGGTCACTAATGAGCTCTGACTTAGTAACCAGATCCACTTCTTTCAATTTCAAATTACCCTCATGCTCCTCATCTGAAAAATCTGAATCAGTAACCAGATCCATGTCTTCCAGCTCTGAGTTATTTTCGAGTTCCTCATTTAAATAAGAGAAAACAGTGGCGGTTACATCTTTTGCTGGACAACAACCATCTGATGTTCCAAGTTGATCAGTCTGTTTCATTACATGAACAACCTTTACATTAGATGAATTTGCAACACTGGAACAGTTATATTGCATATGCTTTTCAGAAGTTAGTTTCTCAGAGAATGATTCATGATATGATCCCAACGGTTTATCCTCCATCTTATTTTCTGCAGATGAAGGCATTAATAATTTCACTTGATCCATGTTCTGCTCAACATCAGGAGAACCAGTAAAGCAATCTATCTGCATATCAGGACCATCATCTCTATCTGCTCTTTCGTTTCTGGTCAAGACATCTATCTTATGACTGCCATCTTTCCCCTCGGAGACTAATTGGCACAACAAATGCTGTTCTTCAGATTCTCTCAACAGGTCTTTGCAATCGGGAAATGGACCAAGGAAATCAGAATCACAGTTTGTCTCTGTGTTGTCGCTTACTTCAATTCTGTTCTCCATTTCTAATACAGCCTGAGCATCACACACCATGTTATGACCACACAGAATAGAGTTTGCATTTTCCTCAAAATGGTTGCATGAGGATTGAACACAATCTGGTGTATTAACAGGCCCCGAAGGAATGACAACAGATTCAGTATTACCTAACTGAATTTCTGAAGAAGACAGATCATCTACATCACTTTTTCTTGATGCAACATTCCCTAGGAAAACTGGATCTGCAGTGACGGAATGTAAAACCTCAGGCTGCTTTGCTACATTTTCAGTAAAATGATTAACAATTAGAGCATCTTTTTCTCCAGAAACGAAAAGGCTAATCTCTTCTTCACATCCCGGGTGCACGCATTCATTTAGTGGTTGTCCATGTACATCAATTGTATCTAAATCTCCACTAAATTCGTTTGTAGTACAAATATCTAGTTCCCCTGGATTGCTGACTTTCAAGTCATCGCCAGAAACGCCAGAAGCGCCAGAAAGACCCTGCAATGGAGAACCCATAGAATCTTTGAAAAGTGGGCATTCTACTGAGCAGAAAGTCTTCCTTTTCTCATCCATATAATCATCATACATATTACTTTCTTGTACATAATTTTTGCAGCCTGAGGGCGGCAGCTCACTGCTACTCTGGACATCTTCACAACACTTTACAGTAGATATCTTCTCAGATGTACAAATAGTTACATCATCCAGAACTAGTTTTCCAGTATCACTTTGAATGATACATGGCTGCTGCAGGCTTTCATTTTTCTGAGAACTCAATGAACAAGACGACACTTTAGATTCCTTTTCCCGAGTGTTTTTCAAGTCTACTTTCACCCTTTCTTGAGCAGAGAAACCTGCAGCTGAACCTGAACTGCCGGTGTTTCCAATTGCTGACTTGGAGTTAACACTGGGAACTTTTTCAGAAAATTGGGGTTTCTTGAAGGTGGGGATCAAAGGAAAACGAGAAGCTGAAGAAACATCAGACCTAGGAAGCTGACTATGTTTGTCTTCTGAACTGTGCGACGGTTGAGAATCGGACTGCAAAAATCAGGAATATGAAGTATGAGCGATTAAAAGCACAAAACCATATTTATGACCCTCAACAACAGCTAGACTTCAGTATATTTCAATAATATACCTTACTGAAATAGCCAATTGACGGTGATGGCACTCTTAAACCTGAGGGCTTTCCCAGAGGGGAAACTGCGGAGTTCGTGTTTCCAACTCTATTGCATGAACTTTGAGCTAATGTGGTGCCCATAGTAATTACATTAGAGTCGCGTAAATTTGATACATGACCAAGCATATCCACATCTGAAGTAGTCATAGGGCCATCGTTGGACTTCCCAACAACAGAATGCTGTGAGTTGGATACTGAAGAAAGTTCTGATCTTTTGCAGATCTAAAGTTCAAGAAAAATGCAACATGTTACTCTCAATTGGAAGACTTTGGAAAAGAAAACATTCGCTGTAAACTTCTAGTGCATTATCTAATTGTTATATAAGTTTGGCGAGGGCACCATTGCTTACCACATGTCTTTTAGATTGCGTAAGAGAGGGCTTAGGAATTGAAGATTTGCTTGCCAGGCTAGATTTTGTTTTACTAATGATGCTTGAAGTACTTTTAGAGAAGCTTACTGATCCTAAGCTCTTTTGAGAATTCCCTGTCAAAGCAGAAGAAATTACCAAGGTAATGCGATCATGTAGCAATATATGAACAGGATGCATGTAGCAATATATGAACAAGATGCAGCAAAGGCATTTGCTGAAACAAAAAATAATAAAAGCTATGAGATGCAGAGGTTCCATTTACTAACTGAATGTGAACATACTTGATTGGGTAGGTTGAGTTAGTTTCGATTTGCTTGGACTTTGAGTAGTCCTTTTCATGTTGTTTGCAACTGTAACTGGATCAGGTTTGGTAGTAGAAACTTTAGATACGCTCAGCTCTCTGCCACGTGGTGTTGTTGTATGCACAGTTGCGGGTCTTTTTAAGGTTCAAAGAAGTTAAGGTTAATAAGCGAAAAAAACAAAACCACAAAAGCAAGGACGGTGATTTCCTTAACACCAAGTACTTTAAGTAAGAAAAGGATATGATGATGAAGGAGGAGGCCGGGGACAGCCACTGCGTTTGGACCCGCTCCTTAAATCCTGACCTGCACTTACTTTTTTCTGGGCCTATAATGCAAACATTCGACATTTAGCTAGAATGTGCCTACAAATAAAATTATTTTTGCTAGGAAATGACACTTTAAGAAACGACTGATCACCCTCACTAGCTCCATTTAGAAAAAGAAAACAAAAATTCTTCAACTCATGTCCAGTAAACTCACCAGGGAAGATTGGGTTTTAGATGGGGGTGCGTACTTTGACAGTGAGCCACTCACAATCTTCTTCTCTCTCTTTTTACTATTCAAAGGCAAATCGTTAAATAAGTTTTCTTCAAGTGCTTGTAGTCCTGGCGAAACACTTGTACATTTGGAAGCTGACGTTGAATCTCTGAACTCTTCTTGGATGGAAGGTAACAGGTCTCCACCAGTTTGGCAAGCATTTCCAGTTATTTTAGAGAGCTCAGCCGAATCCAAAACACCTGGTTCAAGACGATATTGCACAACTTAGTACCGTTGACCAAGCCAATGAAACAGAAGAATTAATCTATACATAAATCCACAAACACTAACAGTCACCTTCTTCTGTTGAAAAAGCTCTATCCCATGCTAAGCTTTTCCGCAAGTTAAACCCTGCATTCCTCTTCTTCTTTTTCATCTGTTGTCGCTCCACACTCAATTTGGGCAATTCAATATTGCTCCCACTAGTATTCTCCTTCCCTACACTGCCTATATCAATAGATGGACTTAGCTGCTTAATGTTGCTGTTGTTGCCTGTTACTCTTCCTGCAAAAAGGATTAACCTTCATTTATCTGCAAAATGCACAAATTTATACTGTATACTGACTATCCAAATTGCTATGTTCCACAATTTCAAACAACAATTCAAAGGACTTCAGATTTTACATTTCCAAGGTTGAGAGAAAATCATCTTTCGGTGAAGAGATTCCAGCGAATGGGTGGAGAAATATAAGATTGTTCCTCTCAATAAAACCATGTCCATGTAAAACTATCATTATAAAAAGTGAGGAAGAACAATATCAGAACGAAACTAGGATCTAGAGATTGAAGTGTGCTTACCAATTGAAGAAAAAGGAGATCGAGTAGGAACAGTACAATTCGATCTAGGGATCTGGAGAGGTGAGCAATCAAAATAACTCTTTTCTCGGCCGGAATTACCACCAGCAAACGACGTAACGCATTTCATTGGCGTATTTTTCAGAAGCCAATAGTCTTCTTCTTCTCCAGAGATATCTAATATATCCTTCTCCATTGAGAGACCTCCCTATCTCACCCTTAATTAAAGAGTCTAGCAGCGTCCGAGATCTGAAGAGGGGGGAAATCGGTATCACTAGGGTTTTTCTGCTAACAGTAAGAAAAGCTCGTCGGGATTCAGAATTCGGAAATCAGAAATAGGTTCGAAGATTTCCTCGATTGAAATAGAAAGTGGGTCAGAGAATGATGATTGACTGTTGATAGACGTTTGAATTTTGGCCGGCGTCGGAAGCGGGAAGAGATTGAAAACTTTTGAAATCGAAAGAAGATAAGACGACAGTGAAGAAAATCGGACCAGGCGAACAACTGAATTGACTATAACACCCCTTACTCTACTCTTCACTAAAAACGGTCTACTCTTTTGTACCACGTTTGACTATATTCTCAGGACGCTATTGGGCCACACTGTAAGCCCATTTCTCATTTTCTGGCCCGCCTTCTTCTCGAATGTATTTGTTTCACAACTTTTGCTCTTTAGGTGAGTCTTTTTGGTTGACATTCGTTGTTTTTTTTTTCTTTTTTTTTGTCGACAACAGATTTCATTAAAGCCCAATAGGCTACATACAAGAGGCACAAATATTTTAAATCCAGAAGCAAATAAGGTTCAGATAACAAAAGCATAATAAGATACACGTGTATTGACACACGTAATCTTATCAAAACTGAGTAATACACGTGGCACACGCTGAACCTATCTGCGTATCAACGCTGTTCCCATCACCGATCTTCACCGCCGGGCATCTTCGAACACCGTCGCTTGCAAACTGAAAATCACCTCCGGCTACTTCAATCTCCACAGCCATAATTAAACTTGCACTTCAAGTTTGATTGCTTGCTCTTTTCACCGATTAACCAAACGGATTGAAACACCACTTACCACCGGAAGAAATATACTAGAATAACACCCAATAGATCAGAAATAGATCCTTCGCCGAAGCTCTACTGAATCTACACATAATCAACTTAAGTGTTATCAAAAACAATGTTCTTCCTTCGCAAGAGAAACTTATCTCCAAAGCCATTTAACGGCTCCATAACGGCGGAGTAAGATTTTACACTCAATTGAAAGAAAACATGCATAAACCGATGGAAAGAAAATGGTTCAATAGAAGAAAAAGAGCAAGAATATCCAATTAATCAGAAATCGATTGTTTTATCATTAAAAGACCAGTGATTCCTCCAAACCTAAGAAATCCTTTACTTCACTAAGGATTAGTAAAAGATCGCAGAGAAGGAATCAATAAAAAAAGCAAAAGACTCTGATTACAGGAAAGGAAATCCGAAGACCTCGAAATTTATGATCCGTTAAACGGAAAGTGAAACCGATCAAGTCGGAAAACTATAAACAAACAAAATATTTCACATAAGAAAACCGGTTTAACCGGAATTTATTTTCCGAAGAAAATTAACAGCACAGTGCCGGCGTCGGAAAACACCGGTCACCGGCCAAAAGAAAAATGATTAATCTGTGATCTCAAATTAATTTTTCTATTAATAATTTTTCCTTATTCAGGTATTTTAAAATATATATATAACTGTACTAATTTAATCAAATTTAAATTTGCATATTACATCTTTTGGTTCGATTTAAACCGGAGCTGTTCGGTTTGTGGCGCATCTAAGTAAAAGTAGAGAGTACCATACCGCATAAATGCTTTCCATTTCCATTTGAAGCAAAGCGCTCAACATAGGGACAGCCTCTGTTTTATACTAGAAAAAGCAAAATTTCTAAATGAAACTATGGAGATGGAAGAACTATTATTGACAAGCTTTTTCTTTTTCCTCACCTTCACTTCCCAAAAGAAATTAGGTTTTCTGAGAGCAGAAGAGGTGAAAATGAACAAAGGTCTCTTCTCTTAGTCTCTTCTTTTTCTTTTTTTTATTATTCTCCAATTGCAATGAATCCTATTCTCTGAATTTATTTTAATTTTGGAACAGGAATTTCTTCAGATGATTGTCTTCCAAAGTTCTTCAAAGTGTACTTACCTGATGATTCCGGAGATGATCTGGTAATAACAGCTTTGCAAAATTGTTTCTTTCACTCTGTTTTGTTTTCTGGGTTTTGTTCTTACATGTTCATCAGTAGATAGATAGCTAGCTAGTAGGTTAAAAATCTTGTAAATCCTTTTCAGGAAATTCCCATTTCTTTCAACAGCTGCTTACAAAATTCTATGCCCAAGAACGTAATCGTTAGAAGCATCTATGGAAACGTTTGGAAACTAGAGTTGATGAAATGTTGTGGTGAAATTGAGAAATTCGTTATGGTTGATGGATGGAAGAGAATCGTAAAGGACGAAGATCTGAAGGGCGGAGAGTTCTTGGCGTTCGAGTTTGATGGCTCTACACTCTTCAATTTCTGTATTTACGGCCACGCAACGTGTAAACGGCTTGGAATTTCAACGAAAACCAAAGAGATCGAAGATGATAAGTCTTGTGTTGATATCATAGTTATTGATGATGATGACGATGATGATGATGATGCTGATGCTGATGATAATGCAGATGATGATGGTGATGGAGATGATGATGATCAAGTTTCTGGCGAAGACAAACCTAGTGTAGATATCATAGTTATTGATGATGATAGTTCTGATGATGTTAATGATGATATTAGCGGTGATCAAGATTCTGGTGACGAAGATAAATCTAGAGAAGATATCATAGTTATTGATGATGATGATGAGGATGATGATGATGATGATGATGATGATGATGATGATGATGATGATTACGCTGATGGTGATCAAGATGATGATGATGGGAGAAGAAGTGGAGTTGAGACAGGCAGAAATTGGTCCGGTAAGAAATGTGAAATCTCATTCTTTTTTTTTTTTTTTGCATTTCCATTGTGCATCAATAGAAGCATCTGTTCATGATTTGTTTAATAATTGTTTTGTTCGTGATGCCAGCTCATACGAGCTCAGGCCATAAAGGACTATGGCTTACACATCCCTTAGTTCATCAATCTCATCACCCACTAGAGAACATTGAGGGTCACACCAATCAGAAGAAATCATTCGAAAGTATAAAAACAAGGAATCAAGTGAAGTCTACTGATAATATAACATGCGAGGTAGACAAGGAGAAGAATGGTCTATGTGTTAACGCCAGAATATGTAAGAATGCTAAAACATCTTGCTAGGTTTTAATCTAGACATTTTCTGTAGTAGTATTGAATTTTTAACCAGAACTTCCTGAATCATTTCAGTTGTTTGCTATCTATACAACCTCCTGGTGTTGTTTTGTGTGTCTGCAACATGTAATGGTGACAAAAGTCTCTCAACAAATTCATATACATAGAATGTTGTATTTATATAAACATGGTTCTTGACAAAGGTCGTCCTTTGTACAATGCAAGGTTGGATTAATCTCAATGACATTATTTTAGTACAATAATCCAGATGATGCTACATTTGATAACAATCTCTCTGTAGCTGCCACGGCGAATCCCACCACTGGGCTGATCTTGAGCTTGCAATGTCCTGTTGAGTATTACCATGTAAAAGCTATCACTTAATCAAGGACGAGTTTATTACTAGATAGTATAAACTACGCAGGACAATATTGTCATTTAATCTGTATCGATTGAATTAGACCGAAACTTAGGCCCATTTGTTGTTATCGTGGGCCTGCGGTAATTTTGTACTCGGTCGAATTACTATGAGTAATGAGTGTTATAAGTGGTATGTTTTCCATTTGAAGCAATAAGCACAGAAACAGAGCGCAACCTCTGTTTTTGCAAGTTTTTCCAACAAAAGTAAGATTCTTTCCATGAAACCATCAGATCGCTAAACTTAGGGTTTGAAGAACATATCTCACCTTCAATTCCCAGAAGAAATTAGGTATTCTGAGAGCTGTACAAAGAGGTGACAATGAAAAAAGGTTTCTCCTTTAGTCTTTTGTTTTTTTCTTTGTCCTTGATTCTCCAATCGCAATGTATCCAATTTCTTCTTTTTTTTTTTTGGGAACAGGAAATTCTTCAGACGATTGTCTTCCAAAGTTCTTTAAAGTGTACTTGCCTGGTGAATCTGGAGATGATCTGGTAAAAGACACTTTCTTTTCACTCTGTTTTAAGTTCGTTTTCATGGGTTTTGGTTTTTTTGTTTCTTACATGTTCATCGGTAGATTTCTAGTTGGGTTTGAAAAAATGTAAATAATTTTCAGGAAGTACCCGTTTCTTTCAACAGATGCTTACCAAATTCTATGCCTAAGAACGTAATTGTTAGAAGCATCTATGGAAACGTTTGGAAACTAGAGCTGAGGAAGTGTTGTGATGGTATCGAGAAATTTCTTATGGTTGATGGCTGGAAGAGAATCGTCAAGGGCGTAGATTTGAAGGGAGGAGAGTTCTTGGCTTTCGAGTTTGATGGCTCTCGGCTCTTCAATTTCTGTATTTACGACCAGGCGACGTGTAAAAGGCTTGGAAATTCAGTGAAAACCAGAGAGATCGAAGATGAATCTGATGGTGAAGATGATCTCATGATAATCAGTGATGACGATGATGATGATCAAGATTACGGTGACGGTGATGATGTTGAGGCTGCTGATGTTGAGGCTGCTGATGTTGAGGCTGATGATGATGATGATGATGATGATAATGAGGATCTTGATGTTGAGGATGATGAAGATGATCAAAGACGGTATCTGGATGATACTGATAACCCGTCTTTTACTGTGATCCTAAATCCGAAGAAGAAAAGCCAACTGGTAAGAATAAAAATATGAACTTTAACATTATTTGGTTATAGGTTTGTTTTTTTTTTATGTGAAATGCATCACTAGTAGTGATTCACTACGATTATAACAATTAGTTTTGTGCATTGTTTTTATGATGTTTTTTCTTTCATAATGCAGCGCATCCCGGCACACGTCATAAAAGACTATAACTTGAACTTCCCTGAGCGTGTAACTGTCGTCGACCCACTCGTAACTAAGTTCGGGACAATGGAGAAGATAATAAAGGTTCAGAAAAACGGAAGTGTGTTTGTCAAGGGATTTGGAGCTGTTTACAGAAGGAATAATGTGAAGACAACCGATAGATTGATATGTGAGGTGAAGAAGAGTGGTAGTGGTCTAGTTCACA